TTCTAGGCTTAAGATAAAGTCAGATTACTATTTTATACATACTTTCTCGTAGAATAGTGTAAAATAAATATAAATGATACATTTAGAATTTAGAAAATGTTTAACACAAATATGTTTGTTGCTGTTACTTGAACGTTATATATATATATATATATATTTCTTTATCAGTTGAACAATTTAATATAAAACTAACGACAATTAATAATTTAACGATTGTTTATAGTCTCGAAAATTATACAGGGTGTCTCACTTAAACGGATACAGAGCTCTTATTCCATAATTATTAATGATACAAAAAATTGTTGATATGGAAATTGCATGGGAAAAGGGGGTCTATGTTTTGGCCAAAGTGAAAAATCTTTTGCATTATTAGTTTAAGAGATGGTTAAGTTTTATTTTTTAAATGGAACCATATATTTTTTTCAGATCATGCAATAGTGCTTCTCAAGACGAATTCCTTAAACTATAATGTATACACTTGATTTTAATCAGTTTTCAAGATATAACGTTTAATTTCCCGATTTTCAGTGGATACGACTCGATTTGTGTGGCAAGTCGTAAAAGCGGCCCTATTGTTGCGGTTTCTTATTCTTTGGGTCTGCCGTTCCTAGCGTAGACCCCCACTGTGGCACTTACCGCTACAATAGGGTCACTTTTACGACTTGCTACTCAAACCGAGACGTATCTACTGAAAATCGGGAAATCTGTAAACGTTATATCTTGAAAACTAATTAAAATCAAGTGTATACGTTATAGTTTAATGAATACGTCTTGAGAAGCACTATTGCATGATCTGAAAAAAAGTATATGGTTCCATTTAAAAAATAAAACTCGACCATCTCTTAAACTAATAATGCAAAAGATTTTTCACTTCGGCCAAAACATAGACCCCCTTTTCCCATGCAATTTCCATATCAACAATTTTTTGTTAATAAGTGCTCTGTATCCGTTTAAGTGAGGCACCCTGTATACCTCGCTAAATGTATTATCAACGCGGATCAATACAGCAATACAAAGAAACTTCCCTTTTGTAAAAAAAAAATAATTTCTCTTATTTTATACAATTTTGTACAAAAGAACATAGAAAATCTCAACTATCAAGTACCTATGGTTAATGACGGTTCTGCGAAGGAACAATGTGATAATAATTATGCAGGAAGTAGCGTCTAATTACGAGTCGTATGACGTACGATTGAGAAATTGTATCATTTACCAACATCATTTTCGCGACAATAGTTGCTATAGAAAAATAAAAGATACAATTAAATGAAACTGTTTTTTCATCGATCCCCAAATGTGTCCCGTACCTTTAACACGTTGAGTGCCATGTCACTCATATCTGAGTGACACTTGAATTGTCAAAGGAAACTATTATTTATATTATTAGAAATTTGATTACTTATCTAATTAGAAATATTTTTATTAGGTATTTGAGATAACGGATAATGGAAATAACAAAATATTCGGAAAAATTTTCAATAGCGTTTGTTAATCATGAAAACTTTAGAAAATTTTCTTCATCAATGGACTTACTTTATTATACGTTTCAATGATTTTCCGGTCAAGGACAGATTAACAACCTCTCGTACCCATCCTCACCGTCGAGGAATCTTCGTAACGGTGTGTTATAATTTGCGAAACGAATTAGAACGATTTTGTCAAGTCTCGTTTCCGTCTAATTAGCACGTTACCTTGCCAGAATATATTTTGTCCACGCACCAGTATTTTCAATCTTCAAAGTTCACGAGAAAAGAAGAGATTTCCCAAGAAATTATAGAGTTTAATTGAAATTTTTCTTACAAAATTAATAAAAACATCTTAGGATAATAGGAAAAAAAGATTGTAAATGAAATCTGGTATCGTGACTGTTAAATTCTTCAAGTTGGACAATTAATTTGCGACGAGCCAACGAACGAGTACAGTTACGAGTCTATATAGAAGACTCAACCGGAACCTCTTCAATCATTCATCTTTGACTATCGGCTAAGATGATACGCGCATTAATTTCGTTGCTTTTAGCAAGTCTCTCGATCTTGCCGTCAGTGATGTCGTACGCGAAAGTGTCGAGAAATGGTCAGGAAGAAGCGGAAACGAAGGATGATTCGAATTCTTGGATCGTCAGGTTAGATGACGTCTCGTCAACGCTCGAGGAGGAATAATAACAATCCCATCTTAATTTAATACTGTGCTTTTTTTCATGAAGCAACGTAACCCAGAGCGAAGGTAGGAGTATCAAAAACATCGCCATCACCATGGCCCCTGTATACATTGCACCGAAAATTCCAAATTTACACAACGGCGAGGCGACTAATTATTCTCCTGGTGGAAGGTAGGATAATCAAGGCGACAGTACTGTAAATTGGACGACACCGATGGTGTAAGGTAGAAAGTTTAAAAATTCGTAATTATTTTCTAGATATACGACGTTGGATCACGAAATGCTAGGAAAATTGAACGCTAAGAAGCAGCTTCAAGACAGATATCACCCAGCACCGCTGAGTTCGTTCAAAAATAAAGAACCTTCGAAGGATGTGAAGGAAAGTCCAAAAGTTGTCGCTCGTCCGAGTAATCCTCCCAGTGGACCACCGTCTTCCAGTACCTTCGACTTCTCGAACCCACCGTTCTCCGACATTTACGAGTACAAACCACCACCGGACTACCTCTCTAGTAAGCCGATTTCAAAGCCACCGGATTATCTCGGCGATAAACCCATCTCGAAGCCCCTATCCATGGACGATTACACGGATACCGAGATAAGTGACAAGGTAAATTCTCAAAATCCTCCTGTTTTTTCATTCGAATTTTTCTATTTCGAAATTGGTCAACATAGAATTTACCATTTCAGCCCCCAGACTCCTACGAGCCAGACTCTTACAAGCCCGATTCTTACAAGCCCGATTCTTACCTCATGTCCCACGAACCCGATTACTCGGATTTCCCGGACGACGCGCCTTACAATGGCAACCCGCCAGCGCCTAAACCGATGAAGCATTCCCCTCCTTCGGATCATCCTCCTTACGACGCGAACGACAACGACAACGACGATAACGATGCCTATCCTCACCATCACGATTTCCATCACGAGCTGATTTACGACCACATTCCGGAGTACCATGATCACACCGAGGAACCAGAAATGAACGATCAAAGGCTGGACAAAAGACCGTACTCTTATTACTTCATAGGCAAGAAGCTTTGGTACGTACCCTTGTACTTCAGCATTTACTTCGTCATCTACATCGCCGCTCTGGTGCTGAAGAGTATAGCAAGACACAAGATCACATTCCCAGCTCATTTGGCCGATGCGGTGGGTCACCATTCTAGGTCTTACGGTGATACCAGCTGGTGGGATTACGCAGGAAACGTACTCGAGGGTGTAGAAAGTTTTGCGGAAAAATATGGAAAGATTTCTTAAGATTTCCCTTATTGAACAATGGATAACTCTGTGCTCTTTTGAGATTTTAATGTTTCCATGTAAATATATTTTTAATAACTAAACGGTTTGTACATATTTCTCGCCGATGTATTTATTTGAACCACGTAGAAATAAGAAAGGAAATAGCACTCTATGTACTTTAAGAATACGAAAGATCTACAGTGAATATTTCAAATCGAGTTACGAAAATGATTAATTATAGAAAATTTGTAAAAAATCCAAAAAAATCGCCTGATTTATTGTACCCCTCCTAAAATTGATCGTTTACGAATGTAATAAAAATTTGGACGATAACCTGTACGTACTTTGGTCGATTTATCCCTTGGATCCATTGGCACACGCTCGATTCCGAAATTCTTGCGAAACGAGCGTGCTCGAGCATGCCCGGCTTCTTTTCCAAGCGCGCCAAGAGTCGTGGTGCAACTTTTTAAAGGTATAACGAGCCGGAATTTGTCAGTATCGGCAGAATCGAAAGAATTACTGGAAACGACACGAGAATTCCGATGGCCTCGCATTCCGATTGACCAATTACGCTGACCGTGCTCCATCTTCTCGTACCTGATTTCTTTTCACGTATTGTTCCGCGATTTCGTCGCCCATCGAGAATACTAAGCGTCCTTTTAATACTGCACTTTCATCGATTTCGTAATGAACTTGCCCCTTCCGACAGTGAACCATCTATACACCTGCGCGTTCGGGTGGCGGTTCGTAAGGGGCACTCACCACTTTTCCATCATTTAGATTTGAAATATCAATTTGTGAATATTGTAGAATGAAATTATAACCAGTGCTTGTTACAATCGATTAGAAATGCTTCGAATGATGCAATAAAGTGAAAAACCACACCCATTTCTAACTGAACTTACACGAAACAGAAGCATCTGTCGCAATTATCGTTGGTTTAGAGTATTGTTTCAACGGGACTTGCTTAAGAAGTTGCTAATCGTCTGGCCTAATACTGTACGAGGATGTACTTTGGCTAACTGACCTGAACTTTATGTTTCCTTTGCCTAGATACAATGCTGGTCATCAAACATTCCATCCCTCCGAACGTAACTTTCCGTCGATATAACGCTCCCACCTTTTCCACTGTTTTAATATTCATCACCTTTAACCGTTCAAATTGACTGAAACCAGGGCGAAGAAGCCTTTTACCTACTAAAAATGACCTACCAAAAATTTTTCCATACACCTCCGGAGTGCTCGAAATATGAAAGAGGTAGCAATCGTTGGGGAAACCTTAATAAGATCTATCAATTTAACCCAGATCTTTGCTCAAAAGGTAGATACCTTCTAATTAAAAGACTAAACAAATTATCGAATCTGTTTACACAGACGATAACGAGGTGTCGCTAAATTATAGCAGATGATCGGTGATCTATAATCGAATTTCTGACTGAAAATCTCTCGTAGACGATACGTAGGAGTTGTAACAATTAGGGCTTTTAGCGCTATACGTTGGATTTGCTTAACGTTTCTGGTGATACAGTTACCGGTAAGCGAACAGAGTATGTTTCAACTGGACCCACGAATCGTTCAGTTGCTCTTTGGATTTTATCAACGACTGTTCACTTCTTCGATCCGTTTGCCAAAGTCGAAACGTTTCACGATTTCCTGTCAGAGGTTCACGAGTAAAGGTTGAAGTTCACCAGTTTCGATGAACTCATTGGATGTTTGGATACTTAGTTGAAGGTGAATCGCATCGGTGAAACGTCAACAAGAAGTGGCTGGTTCAGACACGTGTTCACGAATGAGAGGAATAAAGATTGCTTCTCGCGATCAGGAGGATCCTTTCAATAGTACGGAGTAGAAGATAAAAGAAAACGATGGGTAGATATTACATTAGAAGAAATTATCGAAAAAACGATAACTTCAAATTCAAGAGATAATTTCAATATTTTAGATAGAATACGACACAGTGTTCTACTCCTCCTTTGTATTTCTTACGTGTCATCTATGGACACTAATTTCGAGGAAATTCATTCGTCTACGGACTCTAATGAATCCAACGATTCTGAAATTTTAACAGCTGTGCAAACTTACAGGTAAGTAATTCAGAATGAAAGTGTTTACACGTGTTACCATTCGACTACCTAGTGATCAGTGTGTTAATTAACTTCGTTAATTATCAGACATCCAAGAGTGTATCGACGGGGTTACTACGACGAACACGATTCGATGTATCAAGATGATCATCACGATCAAGAGGAAGAGAACCCGATGCAAAGCATGTCGAAATCGAAGGTCGACTATTGGGGTGGTTACTATGATTTTTTGATAAACGAGGGAAGTTACAAGTTCTGGGCCGTGTTTCAAGTAAGTTTCAATTTAATGGAATATTAAATGTTCTTGAAATACAGTGGATCCAAAAAGTATTTGTACACCATTTAAAACAGAGTACCTCGTTTAAAATTCGACCAAATGACTTGAGGTTTCTTGAGAAGCTATATGAATTAATTTACTAATTGTAAGATATGTGTTTTCGTCGTTTTAAAAAATTACAATTTGTCGAAATCGGGGAAAAAATAGTAATAGGCAATTTTTTAATTTTTTATCTGAGTTAAAATTTCAAATTTTCATTATAGGCTTACATAAAAAAGTTGAAAAACCACCCTTGACTATTTTTTTTCACGATTTCAACAAATTGTAATTTTTTAAAACGATAAAAGCAGATATCTTAGCAAATTAATTTGTATAGCTTCTCGAGAAACCTCAAGTCATTTGGTCCAATTTTACTCTGTTTTAAATGGTGTACAAATACTTTTCGGATCCACTTTAATTATCTAATCGGCCAATAATGTTTGTTAACAGTTAGCCACGGCAGCTCTGCTCATTTACAGCGGCTTTGCCGCGCTTTATTACGCCAAAGTAAATCCTCCGACCACGGACGACGAATTCGACGATATTTTACGTCGAAGGAAACGTAGAGATCTATCTATTTTCCCGACGGATAAATCATTTTGCGGTTTAGATAGCGCCACGTTTCAAAGGATAATCGATGCTGTCGCGAGGGAAATTCATTAATAGATAGAAAATCTGGGAATAAATAATGAAAAGAAAAGGAAGAACGTTTTTCGAAGAATAATAAAAGGATCAGGGTGCGAATGTAGGTACGGTCCTGTATTTGCGAAAAGGCGCTGGAGGGCCGCTCGTTACGTAGCACTGTTCGACAAGAAAATTTGCCTCCGAGCTTGAACCGCGCATATCGCGCATACGTATTCGCATATAAAATTCGTACAGACGGTCGTGCATATGTAACCGACCACGTAGCCACCGTTGATTTATCGGTCGACATTTTTTCGACGGATTTTTATTACGTTTTGATCCCTTCGCGCATACATTTTAGTAGCATCTGCTACCGGCGAGGCAGCAACGCGACATCATCGTCCAAATCTACGCTCTTCAACCTCTTCCTCGACAATATTTTGTAACCACCATGAAACCCTTTCCCTTCAAACTGTACAGATAGGTTTAAACAAAGAATTTGTAAAAGAATTCGTGATCGTATACCTAATCGATGTTGGGTCTTCATCGAAAATTGACTTTGTTTAAAAATGACAATAAAGAAATATTAAATTTTCAAATTAGATTACCCAGGACACACCTGAAGAGAAACGAAAAAGAACAGTCTTTCTCTTGGAAATTGGCGAGGAATACGTTGATCGAGAGTCACCGACCTCGAGCAATTATAAATTGAGTTATATTTCTTGCGCGGAACCGTGAATAAATTTGGCAGGATCACGTACGTCGAACCGCATTGGCCCGGCAGAAAAATATGGTAAGCGGTCGGAGAATATTTTCGACGGAATGATAGGAGAGAAAGGGGCCCCGGTACGGCCCTGCAAAAATCACCCACAGCGTGTTTTCGGCAACGCATTCCACCACGTAGTCGGCTGCGAGGGGTATACCAGGACTCTCGTGTAGCCGGGTGCACCAACAACAGTCAGGGTGGATGTTTGCAAAAAGAAAAAAGGAGATTTTTTCGAATAAATCTCCGTCCTGGTGGTATGAAAACGATATAAAAACTGTTATTTACAAGCGGCCGGTATCAAGCTTGATCGATCATTCTCGCGTGGTTCTTGCGGATGAAAAAAGGTTGACGATAATGGACGATGATACGCAAAGTTCGCCTGCCATTACGTATTAAACACCACTGTCATTATGGACAGATTTTTGCGAATCTTTGCAATTTTCTTACCTGCCTGATTGACTCAACAGTTAATTAGTTAATCTTCAAACGGAAAAAAAGAAATTGTTCTTAAAGGGTTAATACTTGAAGGATAAATCCGGGGCAAGAAGAAAACAAGAAGAACGAAAAATCGAGGCCCACGGATAAAATGCAGTAATTTATGATTCAATGGTCGCCGGCTATAGATAATTCTCGTGTTGCAAATGCAACCTGAACGAACAGTCTCTGCCAGCTTCCTTCTGTTACCGCCCTCTCTTTGCTACCATTCTCCCTTTCTCCCTTTATAGTTAATGATAATAATAATAATAATAATAACGAGGAGAAAGAGGGCGGAGACGTTCCAAGAAGTCGGTAGTAAAGGGTGCAGTCAGCGCAAAAAGAATTCATTATGACGTTGGATATCTATCAGGAGGTTTATCTCGATGCGCGGTTAACAGAGAAGAGTATCGACGATAAAAATGCAATTTACGATGCATCCAACAGGGGTACCATCCTCTACGCCGGGCGATCTTACAAGACAAATTGAACAGATGCTCGCAAACACGGTATAAATATGATCGTGTAGAAACGAAATACAAAATTTAATTTAACTCTCATTGAAAGGCTATTTTCTTTTCTCAATGCTTCGCCGATGTTGCACTCGAGGTTTATTAAATGGTTAATTATATTTCCTAAGTATTCGATTAAATATCGCTAATTACTTCAAGTTGCAGAGTAGTTTCTCATTCCGAGTACTTTAAAGCGTCCCTTTCATCTAATCGTAAGATTACGTTCGATCAGCTGACAGAAAAATTCATTTGGCAAAGAGGAATAAAAGGAAAGATGCGCGTGAGAGGTAAAAAATTAATCATTCGATGAAGCTCTACGTGAGGCTCGTTTATGCGAACTTTATTATATGATTTATCGATGCGATCTCAATGAGCATTCGATACAGTGAACGATTTTTTGGCCTTTATCCAGGGGGACCGTAAGATCCCCATGATTTGTGTGGCCATTTCGTGATGGTAATACGGAATCCTCGATTAATTTCTTTCTGTTAGCTGTCCAAACGTTCGATTGAAAAAAAAAAAGGATCACCATCTACCTACATGCTTCGTATTACAAATGGAATGCGAATGCAATTGTAATCCATAGAAATTGAAAGAAAATTTTCTTTAACAATCAGAAAATCGCAACAATGTTAGAATCTAACCTTCGATGTATCAGCTAGTTTAAGCTTTATCAGTGGCGGCTCGCGTATAGGCACTGTGGAACTGCAGCACCCCCTATTTCCACTTGACATTATCGATAACATTTAATATAACGAGTCTATTTCTCTTTAATTCTTTCTTTATACTTGTACAATATGTAATCCTTAAACTTAACGTCAGTAGCCATCCCCCAGTTTATGAAAAAGATACAAAAATCTTTGTATGGAACTGTACGCATCACAGTTCCAGCTGCGCTGCGTAGTGTTCGACTATGTGCGCATGCGCACGTAGGAAGCTGCGCGCGCAGCTGCGAGGGAGAGAGAGCACTGTCGCTGCCACAGTGTCGGTTTTTTAAAACAAAGGCTGAAAATTTTCTGGAGCAGCACCCCCCACTAATTTTAGCTACGAGCCGCCACTGAGCTTTATTATCCAAGGTGAAACGGTTAACCGTTTAATTGGCAAGAAAAGAGGATTACGATGTGACCAGATAGGCAATAGGTGTCCCTGAAAGGGAAACGCTCGCGCCTATAAACCGAGGTGAATCGCGAAAGCCCCGATCCGATCGGTGGGATTTCAAGGGCTAGCAGAAAGAGGGATGTAACTAAATAACAACGAAATGCCAGCAGCGTGGTTTCGATAGAGGGAATGAAAGCGGTCTTCTCTGCCATTATGACGGGGAAAAACGGCAGGGAATGCCAGCTGGAATTTAAGCGGTGCGGCCGCGTTCCGATGGTACCGAGAGTCGGCGAGCTTAGAACTTAGCGGATAAACGTGAAACACGATGTATACAGGGTGTAAACCGAAACCATTTTCTCGTTCATACTTAAAAATAGGAAATAAATAATTGTTCTATATATACGGAATAAAGCAAGGCAACCCTGATTTCAAATAACCAATTAAATGGAAATCACTAAAATTAGAGTATGCGACGGTTATATAAATTTTGCAAAATGTTGCGCTCATATTAAATCACACCCTGTATAATGGGAAAAGAAAGACAGAAGGAAAGAGGAGGTAAGGGAAGTAAGAACGCAACAGATGAACGGTCGAGGAGAAAAAGAGGGCGAGTAAAGAGGGGAAAAATGAGGCAAACGTAAAAAGATTTCGGCGCGAAACGAACAGAAGCGGTAATTACTAGCGCGGCGGCCTTTCAAAAATCAGACAAAAGAAAGCTAAATACAGTGGTACCTCGGTATATGTCTGCTAATTTGTGTGAATTTCCAATTTTTTGTGTGAATTTTGTGTCATTTTTAAATAATTATCTCAGAGGAAAAATTAAATTAATAATCAATTATATTCGAAGTTGATTGTACTATTAACTGGCTGATCATACAAGTAAGGATATCATATAACAAATTATAACAGCAAAACTGGAGGCAATAAAATTTATTCCATTTGGTTTGTTAATTTAGAATCTATCATTAGATTACATTTATATTTTACAAATTAATTATGTTAAATAAACTAGTGAATATTTTTTATAAACTTCTAGGAAATCGTTTAAATGCTGTTCATAACATAAACAGTGTTTAAATTATTTTACAACCCCATTAATGTAGGTATAATATCAATAGGAGTTTTTTTTACGTGAGAACGGATTAACTATTTTTACATTACTTCTTATGGAAAAGGTTGGTTTGGTATACGTCCTATTCGGTATAAGTCCAAACATCAAGAACGGATTAAGGTCGTATACCGAGGTACCACTGTATCAAGAAATGTTGCTAGAGAATCGCGTCCTTTGTTGACCATTTTAATAAGCACCCTTGCCATTTTATATTAATGCGCTATAAATGCCACTTTGCGATACTTTTCTGTCGTGAAATCACGGCAGAAAACCGATTGAGAATTATTTTCACTTACCTTTTCTCGATGCCAGTTGCGCGTCCACTCGTAGCCGCAATTGCTCATCGCCCATCACTGCCCATAACGATGCTTATGTCGGATATGAAATACCAGCAATCGCGGAGGGAAGAGCTTTTTGTCCGACTTCTGAGACAGTTGCACAGCCGCAAAGAGCATCCCTCGCCATTATTCTGATACGACCAGGATCGTTTCTCCTCTGTAACACGATTCACCCAAGTAATTAGTAGCTCGATGTATCGCGCTCGTTATCGAGGATCCTTTTAGGATGTAGCAATAATTATTTCCTAACGACAACGCGACTTTACCCTGCCCTTTTACGTATACTTTTCTTCTTCTCCATCTACTTTGTTCCTCTTCAATGATGTGAATAGGCGGTAAATGGATATACTTTATGATCAAATGACTAAAGAATTTGTAATTAAAAAAGGTCTAAAATAAGCATAGTGAATCGGCCCCAACAACAATTTCGATTGATATTTATACCACATAATGCTTTTTGCCTAAACAACAATTGTGTGGAATTTCAACCCCCTACCCCCTCTGATAAGGGAGAAAACTTTACTATTATATCTTTTCTCTCCGAAACTATTTAAGATATTTAAACACACTAAGGTGCAAATTGTAGGTATTCATTAGCTGTGTTTCATTTTTTTTTCTAAATTTTTGTCCGATGCTTAAGGGTTGAAAATTAATAAATAAATTTTTGAATGACACCTACCGAAAAAATTAAGAATAATCCTTACTATTTGACTATTATCTGTAAAAGCCGGTAATATAGATAATGAAATTGTGAAACTATAAAATTTGTAAAGTGTACAATTTAAAACGGTAAATGTCTACAATTAGACCCCAACAAGAAATCAATTGAAAAGAGGTAAATTCTATGTATTTTTACCCCTCGAATCCAAAACTGTTGATAAAATTTCGGGGTCGCTTGTACTTTTTAAGATACATAGGTTAGGTTAGGTTATCAGAAAAGATATAACCTACCTCACGGCAAAACCTTGACCAGTCTACAATAGTCTTCTTGAAAAGAATAACTTCAAAGCGAAGTGTTAAAAGTGGTACGTGGCTAGCCAATTCTAATCTTTAGAATTTATTGTTTTATTGGATATTTTCTCATAATGCGTTCCCCGCGCTGTGCATTCTATGAACAGGAATTAGAACTGAGCAAGGAGACCATTGTTGACTGGTCAACTTACCGCCGTGCGGTAAGTTATATTTTTTCTGATAACCTAACCTAACCTAATCTAACCTATGCAGGTTAGTGACGCGCTTTAAAAGTATTGTCTACCTCACAAAGTCATTAGTTTTTAAAAATAATGATTTTATGTCAGTATTTACCACAATATCTTAGTAAATACAAGCGACCCCCAAATTTTATCAACACTTTTGTATTCAAGGAGCAAAAATACATAGAATTATACCTCTTTTCAATTCATCTCTCGTTAGGGCCCTAATTGTAGACATTTACATTTAAAAGATTCTATAGTCAAAAACTGAACAAATATACGACTACCCTTTTTCTATAACAATAAGTAGTTACATAAACATCCTTACTGTTAACGTATAAGAAAGGAACAGAATGTAAAGTGAAAGATTACCTTGATGAACGTTGAGTCAGAAGCAGCAATTTTAACGTTGATTATTGGACAAGGTCTATGCAGATCTCATGGAAAAAGCATCGTAACTTGTTCAATAACGATCTTAATCGTAGCACGTAGAACGTTTGAAACGTTCTAAATGTAGCACGATAACCGTATCGACGAACACGCCTGCCCGCATTGCAATCGTGTTCTTCTCTGTGGGAAAGTCGAGCTATGAATCAAGCTGTATTCATTCGGTTCTCAAGAAGCGTCCCTTTTCTTATACCTGTTATGATACAGAGTGCTGTGTTTATCTTGGCACCGGATTATTATCGAGCAGCCCGTGGATTATACGTGTATCCGAACGCAAGATACGAAAACAGTAACCCGGTTATAGAGGCTATCCAGTGCTTACATTATTACAGGCACTGTACAATGTTGACGTTCCTTGCTGTTCCGAATGAATGCAGAGAAACTGAAAAACAAACGTTTTATCTTATGATACTTAGATTTTGTATAAATTCAAATGTTTGTTATATTCTCAATTCTTCTTTTTTTTTAAGTTGCAGTAATTCTCTGTGCGCCTTGTAATAAAATAGCAATAAAAAGTAATAAAATGACTCACCTCCGTAAAAATTAGCAATAAATTATCTGGATAGCCTTACAAATGATTATTTCGTTGGAAAATTTGTCGCAATAAATCGTAAATCGACAGGATGATTTATTCCTTCGCCTGAAACATAATTGTGACAAAATATGGACACCTTGACAGTGATTGCACGCGTATTATAATTACATTTACAATTAAGATTCATTCCAACTAACGACAGATATATGTAAATTATTATAACGCGACATACAGACGTATAATTATAGTGAAAAGAGAAGTACAAGTAGGTAACTGTTAAATAACTGTAACTTGATATAGTGTAAATGACAGTGTAATGGAGATCAATGACGCGAAGGGAATAATTAACAGCATTATATTAACGAAATGACATTTCTCATGAGTTAATTTAATCCTTTCGTGGCCAATCGATATGGGACCACATATTGATAAAGATTTTTCAATATTATATTTCCAATATATCAAATTGTTTCAAAATATCAAAATTTCACTACTTAATTTTAAATGCACAATTTATCGTTAGAACTAAGAAGTAGATTGTTAATATTTTATCAATATTATATCAAATTGTTTCATTTGAAAATTTGACTACTTAATTTTAAATGCACAATTTATCATTAGAACTGAGAACTAGATTATTAATATTTTATCAATATTATATCAAATTGTTTCATTTGAAAATTTGACTACTTAATTTTAAATGCGCAATTTATCATTAGAACTGAGAGAAGTAGATTATTGTTTCGCGAAATTCCGTTAGAAGAGCTCGACCAGCTGGATTCCTGTTGCTTAGGAATCAGGCCGTCAAAACGCGTCCGTGGACACCTAACGTCCACCATGAGAAATTTTGCGAGTGCAAATTTATTACCGTTAGCAAAATGACAATGGAACGGCCATCCGTTTTGTTAACAGTAGACTAATGAGTGAACATAATGGAAAAACAGCAGGACTCGTCGCGTACAATGGACGAATAATACAAAAGAAGCGTTTGAATAATTTCTTTTGATATAGTAATTTTGGAACTTTGCTGTGCAATGAACTTCGCCTGAAATCATGCGGTATGCGCGCATTGAAGTCACCGTGCGCGCATTCAAATCACCGAGCTTCTATACATATTTCACGCGTTGACGAAGCTGGAAGAGGAGATTAAGGGGAGAATTTAATTTTTTGGGGGAAAAATGATTGTTTTACATTTTTAGAAAAATGGAAGCGTGTAACTAACTAATTTGAAACTTTGTATATATTCATATCATTCAGTAAATAAGAACTGTAAGGGTGAGCAAAATGAACTGAAAAAATTTTAATAACTTAACAAAAGTATGATATAAACATATGCAAAGTTTCAAATTAATTAGTTACACCTTTCAATTTTTCCAAAAATGTAAAACAATTGATATTTTTCACGAAAAAAAAGAAAGTCCCCCCTTTAAATAGGAGGAGATGAAGAAACGAAGGAACGATGAAAATTAAAAGGAAGTAAAGTGGTGCTCACGAGTGGCTGAATGGTTCCCACGAGGAAGATACCGCCAAAAAGTAAAGTGGCGTGAAGAAAAGATAGCCGACAAAGCTGGTTGGCTTAAAAAGAAGTCGAATAAGCGGCAAACAAGCAGGCTGGTTAACCGAGCGGGAAGGATGAAGATGAAGAACGACGGTGCGTGAAGATCTTCCGCTGTCAGTTGGTGGTCAACCGTCTCGGAGTAAGGACGTACTCCTCTGTGCTTCGTGCCTCCTCTCATTTTCGTTAAACCGCTCGTTTTTTCCCTGAAATTAACACCTCTCAAAGATTCTTGTATGAAATACTGCAAAATACCATAGATACTTATATAAAATTTTCCCATTATTTGGAGAATTACCATCGAAATTTGGATTTTCAACCAGAGAGATCCTCGTTTGAACGCAGCCTGGAAACGAGGAGGAAGATCCAGTTTTATAGTATCATTGACTGGAGATAAAATCTTTCAAGAAATCGATATCAAATAGTGAATACTTGTTGATAAAGAGAACGAGCTTGGCCAAGTTCCACAGCATTTAAAGGTGGCCCGAAAAAATGAACTGGTTTTTTATGGGTCGTCGCATTAAGAGGTACAAAAAAAGCAGAGCTATTTGAATATATCGGGAACTGTGCTTAACGGGACCGTAGTGAACCTGAAAAAAAAGAAAGAAAATTGTGCTACTTCGTGACCTTGAGTAACTTAGTTGAAACTTTTGTAAGTGATTCCCAGAAGAAATGATAAGCTTCAGATAACGAACACGTTCCATCGCCTTCGAAATTCCTACGTGAGATTAATAAACATATTAGACTTACTATAGTGAAAGAAGAAGAAAAATTATCGAAGAAGATGGCATCTATGTGCGGCAGTAGCAAAAGTTATCCAGCGATAAATACAGGCAGCTATTACAGGCCAGGTGCTTATCCGTATCAGGTGAGTGAAGAAAAATTCTTTAAAAATTTTCAAATTTTACAACGTATGAATGATTGATGAAAAATTATCACATTCGTTAGTATGTTCTCCGGATATTCGGATGCCTGCACCTTGACTCCGTTATGATCCATTCCGGAAATCGTTTTTACGTAGCTAGACGCATCAGATTTACGAAGAAGGAACATGACTGCATCTATTATAAAAAAAACTCGTTTCGTACTCAACGTGCGCAAAATAATTATGAATAATGCAACGTTCAATCGCTTATTCCTTTGATTTGGAAATTCCGGAAGGAAAATTCAAACAGCAAAATAATAATGACAGGAAAAACCTACATGCTTTACGCTTCTTCTGATCGAGGTAAAGCTAGGTTTCTCCGTCTAAAAAAAAAAGTAAAGCTAGGTTGCGCGAAACTGTACAGTCAGATATCTACGATTGTCCTTTTTCACTGCTATTCCAAAAGATAAAGTCAGATCGCACGAGACAGTACAATCAAATATCTACGATTGTCCCTTTTCAGTGCTAAATTCCGAAAGGTAAAGCCAGGTTGCACGAGACTGTACAATCAAATATCTACGATTGTCCCTTTTCAATGCTAAATTCCAACAGTCTCGGTGGTCCATGGAATAAGATCCGTCTCGTTTCTTCCGATAGACGTAATTAAATGCGTCGCCAACTGCAGCATAAAACAATATGAAACGAACGGACCACACGTACAGCTACTGCATCAAGAGAAACCTTGGCCTTGTCTTGCATGAAAGCGTTACATAAGTTCGCCTCGCTCGGCATCGCGTAAAGATGATGATGATGATGATGATCCGACGTTCTTCAACTTTCTTTCCTATCTTTTTCTCACCGTACGTCTCGACGATGTCTCTCCTCGTCCTCTTCGATCGACCATCTTATCCTCCCCCGGTGGTTCTACGGCAGTTTAAAATACGAATACGTTCGATGTTAGAAGGATATAAAAGAGTCCGAGACACAGCAATAGCGGTTCAAGTAGAAAGGGTAAACTTACGTGTTTCTTATTTTTCTGCGCACCCTCTATACGTGCATTCTAGCAAACGACACGGGAGGCAAATGCCTTTCTGTCCGCTAGATATTGCTTTCAGATTTTTACCTGGAAATTGATTCAACATTTCTGTGAAATAATTTTGCTTGAAATTGTAGCTCTGAAATATAGTCGAGGAATAAAATTATTTTTATCAGAGACGAAAGTGAATAAAATTATTTTCTTGTGTCATAAATTAGTGCAAAATAAAGTGTTGTTAATACAAAAATAATTTGGCATTTTCTTTTCACGATTATTCCTTTCAGATTCACGTGCATAATGTTGTACAATTAAAATTTGCAACGCAATTAACGTTTTTCCTCTCATCAAGATGAAGCATGTTATTTCTGCGTGTCATTCCGGTCAAAGACACGCGTGCTTTACCTTGTAATGTCCATTGACCCTCGAGCAACAGATACGCCATTGTTTCCGAGTCGACTGCATTCTTCTCTCGTTCATCCTTTCCATGTTTATTGAAAAAATGTTCAAGTCTCGTTGAAACGATGTTTCAAAGTCGGTCGTTTGATACTGCTAACACTTTTTTTCGTCAACAATAATTAAGACTCGTCAGATGCGTCGATATCTAATAAGTCCTCGAGCCATCCAGTACGAATGGCTTAAATAATTACAGGGCTCCACGTGCGAATCTGTGACCAACGATCCGCGATATTAACAATAACACCGTCAGCTATGATTTACCGATACACCAATACTCGTCGCGACAGCCGTATTCTCGTTAATAATTTACAAAAGGAACCATATGGCAAGAGTAGTTGCGTTGCATAGCGATGCCGCATCGAATAATACAGAAGGATGGCAGTAGTGCCATTCCTCGTCCTTTTGTCGATGCTGAGAAACCTTAAGAACGCGAGTCGCAGACAAATCGCTATCAGCTTCAACATTGGCCGAGAATAATGTCCGTGATCCGTCGACCGATTTTTCATCTTTGTTACGTTACAAAGTAAAGGCTGAAAATTGTCCCGGAAGATTACTGCACGCGAGAGTTCCGTGTTCGAAGAACGTATTCGCATGAATGAACACGCATGTTGCATCAATAATCATCCTACGAATTGTACCGTTCTATCTTCTGTCTTAATACTCACCTTCTGATTACTGCAATTTAATAAATAGTTCGTTAGCTTCGAATGTAATTATACCATAATTAACATTCGGTTTTAAAACTTATAATTACAAAAGACTTTTAAGGGGTTAGGCCACTCTAGAATTTTGAACAAATAGGAATTTTTTTTTGCTTGAAAGGTGCCTTAATATCTTAAAAATGATATGGCAAAAGATTATGGGTGAGAAAAGTTACTAAATACTCGAATTTCAAATTCTGACACAGCCCCCCCGGTCTGCTGAATTTTTCAAACTGGTCGGATTCATATATCAAACAGATCATCATCAATCTATTTGAAAATTTAACAGTATATTCAAAACTAAATTCTCTACCGAAATATACCGCAGTTCACCAGAGTCCATAACTGCGAAAAAACCAGTTTTCGTTCTTCGCGCTTCTCCAGTGCGCATCTTCGCCCTGATTGGCGATACTCCCAAACGAAGTGGAAAGCGATTAGCAGAGAGCTCGCTGCGTTCCCCCACCATCTTCCAAACTGCGCATCGCAGTTATGGACTCTGGTGAACTGCGGTATACATTCTTCATTATATAGCATAGTTCTTTTGTCATAAATAATTTTCTGGCGATTTTTAAAAAATACGCCATTTTTGCAAAAATCAATATATCAAAAAAATCCTACGTAGTTCGATAGCTATTTTCATATATAACCAAAAATATTTTGGTTTTTTATCCTAAGTTAAAAATTGCAGGAGCTGCTGGTTCGTTTAGCCCTACAAAAAATAGGCGTTATGGAAGAAATGCTATAGAGCCCATATTTTCACTTCAATCACTATACCAAAATTAATTTTTAAAGTTTATTAGTTGTAAAATGAAGACATGCTTAGTTGAAAAAGAAAATTCCCAAAATATGCCTATCTTTTCCTGCTCTAGAGTGGCCTAACCTCTTAAGCATCCTAAGCACATCATAAGTGAATTTTCCAAGAATCTCTGATAGAGTGGCCATATACCAACTGAATTTTTCACAAGCTTCTAGACGCTCTAACTATATCCTAATGGAATTTCCCCCAAAACCTGTAAGAACCCATAGGTGTTAAAATGCAGTCCAAACGACTACCCTCTCCTAACAATGAAATAATTAAAAAGAGCCTAAAAATACATGACAAAAAGGAGCCCACGAAGGATGCAACAAAGAGGATGATTAAATCAACGATAACAATGCTGTTGTTCATCTTCCTCTCTCCTCGTTCCAGCCATAACTTCGCGTATACCTGGGGACGTTTGTTTACCGCCACTCCTACGAACTTCCATTATCATCATCCCAGTTCCCTTCGTTCAGAGTCACTTCTCCGTGTCGTTGTTCCTCGTTTTTCTGCCGCTGCACCACGAGTGACATTAAATCCCGAGGTGGCACTGACCTAACTGGGCAGCATAGGACCACCAGAGGTGGACCGTTTCACGTATCTCCCTGCTCGTTGGTTAGGTACTGTTACTTCACTGGCATACTTCGGCCGGAATACCAAATGAATCCAACCGAAGAAATTCAAGCCGTGGCACCGTGTAAGAGACAATGATGCATCGTGGATTCCATCTAGAGCTAGGTAACGTTGATCAGTCAAGGTTGAACGAGCCGGTTCATCGTCCGAATTCCTCCCAGATATACCTTGTTAAAATTTCAAACAGGTTTCCTCTAGATTCCGTAATACCGATCTGTCTCCTACCTCAAGGAACGTTGAATTTATCGATATAAGTGGAACGATTTCCTGTTAACAGGTTGCCAACCGATGCCACGTAATCGTCGCTTAGCTTGTTTAAAATCAGTTGAATTCCATGGAATTCCATGGAATTGAATTCCACTACAAATTTCATACGTTCGAATAATTAATGGGAAAATATCAAAATGAAGCGTGAATTAATTAAAATCCTGAATGTTTCAGTAATGCTTGATTATCCTTGATTATCCGCTTTCAGGTCTTGGTCGACGTTTAAATAATATTCTGTCATAGACGCCGACTTGAACACGGTGTAATTAGGCCTCGTTGTTAATGAACCAACGCATAGATTGTAATAGAAGTATTTATACGCGAAGGCAACGGGTGGCCTTCCTTTTTGTCTAGTCCCGATCACTATATAATACCGGACAGTTAGGTTCATTGAACTCGGATTATGAGTCTATAATACATATGTATCTGGACGTGGCAAGCCGTACCCAAAGTCACGTTCCACGGACATCATTTACATTAGCGAAACTCAATTACACGTATGAGAAATTGATCCAAGATTATAACATCGAAGGTTGTGCTAACTATAAATCGTTTCTAATGAACCTTCGGGTATCTAGGACTCACGGACGTTCATGTATGTTTAAATAGGTATTCGAATAACTATCCTGTAAGATATAAATCTGTTTAGCACCTATAGAGATGTAAGAAAATTCTTGGTAATCTGTCCTATGAGTAATGTGTTGTCTTCTTCTTTATCCCTTGGTGTAATGACACTTGTAATCAAACTGACATTTTAATGTCAACACGGTATCTTGAAATCTTAATGGTATATTAACAATTGCATTTTGGAGAATCATGCCAACTGGTTGATCTCCAGTGATCAGACATAATAGCCTTTCAAATCAGTCAGCTAATTAACGTTTTCCATCATCTCCCAGAAACAATCTTTACAAGCTTACTTTAACTAGAGGTTACACCGCTTACGTGGTGCCAACGACCTCGACTAAATTCGCACAGCACTGAAAGCATAACTGTAACAAGAAGATGATACCCACGCAGAACCGTCGAGGCGGTCTGCATGCTTGGAAATCCTGGATCAAGGCATCAGGGTCCTGAGAGACCCAGAAGGTCAATCCAACATCACGACCCGACGGTCCTTCCGGTTCGTGGTAAATCATGAAGAGGCGGAGAACTCGTACCGCCTATCTGCTTTACTTAAATGTGCCTCTAACTCGGGTTAAAACGGTTTATGAAGCCTCTTCTAGAATATCCTCGCGTCTCAGTTAAAACGATTCCGTTCCATGCATCAGGCATCATCCGTAATTATCCTTCGAACCTTTCTTTACGTTCCATTAGAAGCAAGTATGTACCGAGGTCAGAAGAAGTTCACGCATTTGATGCCTTAATTAACGTGTTCCCTGCAACACTTTGTCTTGTGTTTCGAAGAAGAAATGTATCATCGTATGTACACACAATAACGAGTAAATTTCCGTAATTACTTACAGAGACTGTCGACAAACGAACACCGTAACGCGAAAAACAACAGTTCACTTTCTTCCTCAATGAAATCAGGACTTACGACATTCTGAAAGGTAAAACTGAATGAAACGTGTACAAAAACAAGTAGTTCATCGGCTCCTCTCGACAGTCCTCAAGTACATGCTTTTACAACACTTACAAAAAGAAACATGTTCGTATTGTTGTTTACAATTTCCATTCCATTGAATTATATAGTGTAATAATATATGGTCGTCTGAAAATTCTTGGTACATTAAGGAGTTAGGCTACTAATTTTTTTAAGGAGTTAAAAAAATAATAGGCATATTTTGGGAACTTTTTTTTTTTAAATGATGGAATAAATCCTAATTCTGTAAGTATGCCTTCATTTTACAACAAATAAACTTTAAAAATTAATTTTTGTATAGTGATTTAAGTAAAAATATGGGCTCTGCAGCATTTCTTCGATGACGCCTCTTTTTTGTAGGGCTAAATGGACCAGCAGCTCCTGCAATTTTTAACTTAGGATAAAAAACGAAATATTTTCGATTATATATAAGAACATCTATCGAACTATGTAGGATTTTCTTGATATATTGATTTTTGCAAAAATGTAAAATTTTTGACTATGCAATATAATGCAATAGAATTTAATTTTGAATATACTGTTAAATTTTCAAATCGATTGGTGATGATCCGTTTGATTTATAAATCCGGCCAGTTTGAGAAATACGGTTTCGAGAAAAATGCGTTTAAAGTTTTCAGTAATGCTCGTAGCAGACCGGAAGGAGCTGTCCAAGCAAATAATCTTTTGCCATATCATTTTTAAGATATTAAGACACCTTTCAAGCAAAACAAATTTTGATTTTTTCAAAATTCTGGTGGCCCAACCCCTTAATGATGAATGCTTTACGTGATCCTCGAAGGAAGCACGTAAATGCAAATCTTAAACGGTTCTCAGTATTCGAGGATCGCACGCGTGTTTCCGGTCGCCTGTTTCGGTGGACCTGTATCCGGTCAGACATCCCTTCTGCTTTACAATTGAAGATAATATTTATTCCTGAAGATGTCCGATGGAAAAAATACAGGCGCTCATCTAACAAGGGACATTACCCAATCGACACACGCCGATTTTGATACCTTTTGAGTATGATATAGAACTCAAAAAAATATTTGACACGTATTTTTTTTATCGGCAATCGTCGATACTGAAGGGGTGAAAATAGCCCTCAAAGTTGGGGTTGCAAAACATATTTTCTTGAATATCTCAAGAACTATTAGGTATAGGGGAAAAATTCATAATGGAATTTGTGTTTTTGAACAGCAAATTTTTCTATGTAGCCACCTTTTTGATAAATTTATTTGTTTAAAAAATATATTGAAAAATAATCTATTTTTGTCATTTTTTTCACCCCTTCAGCATAAACGATTGCCGATAAAAAAAAATACGTATCAAATATTTTTTTGAGTTCTATATCATACTCAAAGGGCATCAAAATCGGCGTGTGTCAATTGGGTAATGTCCCTTGTAAATGTCTAATGACGAGTAGAAAAGAAGATTTCTTCGTTGGAAGAAATCTTCAGTCATGGACATTGTTCGTTGAAACGTTTCGTGTGCTTTGCGGTTCGAGGTGATGATTACACGATCGCGGTCGACGAAGAGGTTACAGAGAGCAGAAACTGTTGCTGGACACGCTGCTAGCAACGGTTACAGCAATTACACGGGCGTCGAGATCGCAATCTCTGCCGATGAAGGAAATTCTTCAACGCTCCCAAAGCTCACAGGGTCAGATTTATTGCGTTTTTGTCGATGATTCATTTTTCCAGTCTATCTATTCCAGAAATGTTCAAACTATATCTGTACAGGCATCAGGAACTTCTAAAAATGATACATAACATATTTAGTCCATTGTACTCTCACTGGCAATAAAAGTAACGCATAGTTTTCACCTTATAATTCTTGTGTGAAATTATAAAATAGATAATGAATTGGGAAATGATTGTAAATCGTTGCACTGCAATTAATAAATAATTTATTACCTGCAGTTTAAAAAAAAAGAAACAATAAACGAAGCAATTCTTTTAACTTGATCGAGATTAAACGTCTTCATAAGATCCACATCGTTGTTAATTAATGTTAATTCATAATCAAATAACGAGCTCGAAGGATTTATGCTTCCTTCCGTGGATCCTAAGCTCGTGCAGGAAAGATCCTCGATCGCATACTAACTGCTCCTTAACTCATTCACGAGACCAACCGATTTCATAATGAATCCAGGCATTATTTAACACCGTACCGTGACCTGAACGCTTAATTAATTTTTCTGTCCGTATAAAAAGAAAATCCTCGAATTTTGTACGTGTCAATAATTTATAAATTATATCCTTGAATCTTCGATTAACATTTTAATCCATCCCACCGACGTAAGGTGGTAAAATTCAAGTTGAATGAAAACGAATATCATCTATTAAAAAATAAATAAAACAAAAGTGAATTTGCTACTTTTAACAAGTACCCGCTAAATCAACGAGTCTATATTTATACCGTGACTGTAATGGAATTTCGAGCGAGTATCTCGACAGAAAAATGCGAGCTCTCGGTCGGTCTACTTTTTGTTCACTCTCCGTTTACTTTTCTTCTTTGTTGAAGATCAGCCTGGCAATGGGTAAAGAGGGAACACGTACACTTACAAACACGATATCTTTCCAGGCGCCACTTGAATTACAATTCAATACAAGTATCACATTGCTTATAATATAATTTTGTAAAACTTTCTTCTGAACTTACAATTTTATCGGCCAGTCTATGCCAACATACTTTCACTGAAATTTTATAATCATCAATTAATATCATTTATTGTAATTATGATTTTAGTTGTATTTTTCGGTACTACAGTGGTACTTCGGTACATAACCTTAATCCGTTCCTAATATTTGGACTTATGTCGAATAGGACATATACCAAACTAACCTTTATCTTACTTGTATGATCAGTCAATTAATGATACATCAACTCCGAATATAATTGATTATTAATTTAATTTTTCCTCTGAGATAATTATCTAAAAATGACGCAAAATTCACAGAAAAAATTTATGTCGTATACCGAGCAAAATTTGTCACGTCCAAACAGGACGTATTCCAAAGCAGACGTGTTGGTACCACTGTATATCAAATTTCTATTCTCCGCAAAATGATTTTAAGGCGTCTCATGCAAAAGTTTTTTGAATCTTAAGGTACGAAGAAGATAATTCTTCGAACTTTTTGAGCACCCCATGTAGACGTTTCTATGGAGTCTCATTAAACAAGACAAGGACGAGGGGTACAGTGACGACCTTGAGAGATCTTTGCACTCGCCGTTCGTAGTCGCATCTTCTCTTCGTGGTTTCTTCATGCCGCCCCGCCGAAGGCCGCGAAATGACTCCGCCCAGGTCATGGTCCACGCATCTACGTGTACACTGCACCTGTGCCAATTCTCGTCCTTTTTCTATATTCTTTTCTCCTTCGCCAGAGCCATTATCTCGGGCAAGAATCGAAAAGAAAACGGCTGGCTAATCTTACTCGTCATTTCAATACGTGACTTTTCATATTATCAATCATGCGATGATCAGAGCTTCAGAATTGGTCACTTGCAGCTTGTATAGGAGTCATGAAAATCGCGTTAATGTTGTTACATTAAATGGTACGTTTGCAAAGCTGGTGGGTTTGATTTATCGGTTCTCATCGGTTCGATGATTTATGGTATTCTCCCAGCGATGATTTAAGGATACCACCTTTATGGTTCGGTGATAAAAGGAATGATGTATGAGATCAGCTTTCGTGTAGTTCCTCTTCCTGATTTTGCGTTTCGCGCAACAGAGAAGCAATCGTCGAGTCAACGTACTTTTCCTTTTCTTCCTTTTTTCCTTTTCAATTGACTTCACCTCGGATAAATTCTTTGTTTGTTGGATTTAATCGATGCGCAACGTTTCATGTTCAAGAGTACCATTAATCATTGCGTGAGAACGAACGTGAGACGTTCGAACGAAATCAAAAGGCAGAGATATATTTTCGTTGACAGGGCCGGCCCTGGAACTAGGCAGACTAGGCGACCGCCTAGGGCCCCCTTAGGTCCACGGCCCCCATAAGACGATTTTGCGTCTAAGAATACAAGAACAGTAATTAATGTTTACTTGAATATTAATCGACGTAAATGCAAATCTAAATTAGTTATACAAGCTTTAATGTTAATTTTATAAATTTTATTTGAGCTATTCTTTTTTATGTCATATATGTGAAGGGGCTCGCCTCAGACCCCCGAGATCTCAGGGCCGGCCCTGTTCGTTGACACGTTGAAGCTCTAATTATTAAGAACAGGAATAATTAATCTCTCGAATTTGTACTCTCAATTTTTCTATCATAAATTAAATTCATGAATAAAGGAAAGGCAACGTGTTGTACTTCCGGTCGATGGATTATTACATTTACCGGTAAGAACGCACTTTCGCGGTAGTGAAGCTAATAGCCTTTCCGAAGAATCACATAGCTGTTACCACGCTTTGTGATCCACATAGTTGGACATGGTCCGTAACGTCGCTTAACTGCAGACCACTAATCTTTTCTTTCTTGGCACTTGCATATTTCAAGAAATAATGTAACGAGAGTAATGAATGGTTGAGTGAATAAAAAAGGATCGAACGTTCCATTAAGAAACACGCTGATCTGCAACGGTAAATAAGTAAAGGTGATTCTGTGAACGTATGTATGTACAGTCACTCACAGTGAAAATCGTCCGCCCGCAACGGGGCGTATACAGGGTGTTAAAAAATACCCTGAAGACCTCTACACCGCTGGGTAGATCACACACAAAATCGAAGTGAAAAGTTCTGTAGTATTTTTCGATGGAATTAGTAGTTTACTCACATTTCGTTGTTGAAAATTGAAAAATTGACCAATTAGCTTGAGTGGCAAGACCCGCGGAGTAGGAGACTAGCCTCCTCTGTCGCCGACGAGCCGCGCCACTGAGCGTCGCGCTTAAGCATGCGCCGAGAGTTTAGTGATTAGTAAATAGAGTAAAGTTGTATGACCACCTCACCGCCAACATAGATATCATAGTATAAACACATCCTAGTCATAGTTCCAGCTCATCTAGCCTCCTGTACCCGGTTACTTATTCTGTCCCTTGTACCTTGTACCCAGTTCTCACTCTTACCCCTATAGGTACATATACATTGTCGAGTTATTAACGAAAAACACTGGCCAATCAGAGCGTGCCTTTAGCGCGGGCCGAACCGCAAAAGTGTTGGGCATGCTTTGCGTTCAAGCCGTGGTCGTGATCAAGTGCATCAGCACCAGTGTTTTTCGTTAATAACTCGAAAACGAAGCCTTAACCAACATTTTGGCAAAGGAAAAAGTTGTTTACAATGGCCTCAGCAATCATCCTTCCACGGGTCCTACCCCAGTTCTGGGACATCCTGTATACTTCCCTCAGATCTCTGTAGTTTGTATAGTGCTGTTCTTGACGTTCGACGAATAAACCTCTAAGTTCAAAAGTGTTGGTTTTAATTCCCCAACCTGGAATTCAACACAGGTATCTACTAGATTTAAGCCATTTAGCACGAAGAAAAGTTCGCCGAAGGTGCAAACTCCCCGAAGGCGAGGACGTAGTTCTTAAAATAAGGCAAACATTGAGATTTCTCTTTGCAGAGGCCTTTTCAGGGCTATACCAAACGTCGGCACTGTCGACGTTAATGGCAATTCTAACGACGGGCTCTATGCCTTCTCCGAGACGCCGACAAACCTTCGTCCTTCGACGGAAATTACATAGCTCTGGACAGACGGCTCTTTTGTCGTTATAACAGGTAACGACCTTACAGAATCGATGGGAAGTTCTGCTGAACATAATAGGAATAAAAATTAAATTCTCTTATATCTGCTTGAAAATAAAACTTGAAAAGAACTGTATTATTTATAATATTTGTTAACAGTGGTTAACATCTTCCAGATAACAAAACGTTTTTATCCAAGTGTTAATTAAATGTGAGAAGAGAAAAAGAACGTAACAATTTTGTACCAACCAATGCGCAAAGTTTAAGCATGAAGCAATCGTTATCCCGAATGATTAAACTTCCTCTGTTCCTGGCAGCAGTTACATGCAAACGAGATGAAAATTGTTACTTCGTTCTCAAGAAGCTGCTGACCTAAATGCAGATCATCTGGATCATACTGATGAGACGACGATGACTCATTGCCAATGAAAATTGAATGAATCAACATATTCAATTAATGGCGTAGATCACTTTCAAATTCAAGAAGAATTAATGTTCAATTCACGTTAACAAAATGACATATTTTTCTGTCTATCCTTCTGTCTCGTCGACATTTCTCATTTCACCTGGCTCTGTGATGCTAATGAGAAAAGTTAGCGAGCAATAAATCAAGTAACACCATAAAGAATGGACTTTATGAATCCCACAGATTTCCAAGCGCCTCTGCCACATTTTTCCCGTCATTTCTTTGTCTTGCAAATACTGTACGTCGTTTAGCACATAATAGCAACCTCGTTGTAATTCAAAATACGCCTCTACGTAATGCTCGAGAAAAAGAAACAACAAAATTTTAGAATTATCGGGAAGGATTCTCATGGTGTGCAAACGAAGGCGTTATAGAGTTCGCACGATGATTCGCGCGAACCAATGCTTATGGTGCGTTCCCTACGTGACCATCTTGATCATTGTTAGCGTTGCCATTGTATTAAGAAAAAGGACAGGAAAAAGAGTGCAGAATACTTCTCACCGAATCACGATATTGATAAGAATTTAACGATGCACTATTAAATAGTACTCTTCAGCTACAGAATATTCTGTAAATTACTTACTATCAGTGCCGGTTTTAGCAATATTGGCGCCCTGGGCAAGATTATCGTGGCGCCCATTCAGGAGCTAAAAAACGCGTCAGGGAAGATGTAGACATAAATGCCGCAACATATATAGCATATACATATGTAACATTACATATGAGATATAGATAGGGAGAGGAGACAATGAGAAAATATCGGCATATTCGCATACTAGGGACAAATCTAGCGCCCTGGACGATTGCCCCCCCCCCCCCCGAAATTTCACTTTTATGAGTATAATAGTATGTCATATATGGAAAATTGTCTTAGGTCATTCAAATTACTAAATACGTTAATAACGATGTATACATAGCAATTGATTTGTTACTATCGTGATAATAATCAAATTATGTAGGTGATGAGCGATTAAGGTCCGTGCCAGCGTTTACGTTAGGCTCGAGTATCGATAGCGCATGAGATCAGATTTGGAGAAAATTGTAGAGATTGGACAGATATTTGGGAAAATAATGAAGATATAAAGATCTTCAAAGGATGACAACCTGTCATCAAAGCAACGACGGGTGGAAATAGGTGAAAATATTAACCTGTGTTAATAATGTTGTAGGAGATGGGAGAAAAAGGGGTTTTCCCCGTCTCGGGATCATCTGTCAGACTCGTCCCAGTGGGGCTGACAACAGACGATCCCTGGTCCCAGACAGATCATTGTACAAAGGAGCCTTGTGGGATTTATAACCCGCTCTGCCGTTCCCAAATTTGCACTTATACCGGCGGTGTTTAAGGGCGCGATTGCGCTATTTGATCCATCTCCCAGCAGCCACCTCCCAACCAAGTGGCGCCGGGTAGGTTCATCAGCGGGGTACGGAAGGCCCAATACTTGACTCATTGTAGGCGTGTAAGGAATTTTGGTCTAGGACGCTTTTACTTCAACAAACTAACCTGAGTGGGTTAGCAATTACACCCACCAGGGGCTTCACCTATCATACTGCAATTCGGAACTTCTACATATTCGAACCGCATGCCGGGCGACCGCTTGCGAGAACACTGTCACCGATCATCTCGCTGCCACCTGGCGGTCCCCGGCTCGAACTAAAAGCGTCCGGGGAGACGAAAATCCTCTCCTCCCTCCACTAAACGCCTACAATGTTATGTACAGTAGTAGTGTATTATGTCAGTAGCTAATAAATTATATCATTATAATTTGAACAGGCCTTTTAATTTTACGGAAAACGTGAAAAATTCTGAAAATTTGTAGTGGTCCTAATTCGATAGGCAGGGACTGTAGTTACTGTGAACCAATCCTTCTCATCAAGTTAGAAATCACCTGCTCACTCGAATGGTATACCCATTAATCAGTGTAAATGACGTACACGTAACATCAAAGCATCCCATTGTCATTCCGGACGATAATGACATTCACCTTGCGTAACAAATAATTCGGCTCTCCATATTTGGAGGCAACGACCTCATACTACACATTACGCATTGACTTCCACCGGCACGAGCGTGAAGTTTCTATCAGCCACAACTCTTAAGCATGAAATTATTTCTTATCCTTATGATCAAACTATAAATGTAATAATTATAATCCAATTAAAATTCTTATCTGGTGTAATAAAACTCGTTGGAATTATTTTACAATTCTAACAAAGAATCTGAACAGAGACGCGTCTAGAATTCTTCGTTCTGGTCGAATCTTTGTCTTTCCCATCGTCCTTCTTACATCGATTCAATGATTTCACGCATGAACTCAATGATAAATCTCAGGTAACAACTGACCGTGACACACGCTAGTTCCATTCCACAATCACCGTTTTTTGTATACTTCAAGTTTTAATAGAAATAATTTTAAACTGATCCACTTCTGACTTTGAAACAAATCCTTTTCCACTTGAAATTCCGATTTATAGTCTTGAATTTTTCTTTTTCTGGAACAAAGCAATATTTGGAAATTTAATAAAAATAGTTTGTTGAAAGTTCAGAAATTAGAGATATACCCCTCTACCAAAATCGTTAATTATCAATTTACATATGCACATAAATTAAAATAATATATCAAGTCCTTCACACAATTCCAGCTGGTGTGGTTGACTTTGGAAACTTCCTTCTTTTTCATTTTTCTTCTTTTTTTTCAAGCATTCCTTCTCGGCTCCGGTACCGTTACAGGTATTACTGTACACCTGACTAAATTTATTGCGCGTTCCGATTATTGAATCGTCGAATGGCAACGGTTAGTTGGTCAGTGAATGTATACTGAACTCTGAAGGAACCTCGACTATATTCAAATAAGAGACATAACATGGCACTACCTTCTGCTACATATACTACAATTAATTAACCAAATTATTACTATTAAATACATAGACAATTTTTTCTAATTATAGAACGATTATTATTTACCACCACGGTCAACATGGTCCAGAGTCTCGCCACAGCAAACAAAGAAACAAAGAAGCAATACTACATGGAAAGTCGGCAGTGCAATGTTAATTATCTCCGCAATGCTAGTATTAATTGCTGTCTTCGCTATTGCAGGACTCGCTTTATGGATGGGAGGTTTGTTTATACTTAATCACTCGCCTACTTTTTACAATTACATCTCACAAAATTCTATTAAACAAACCGTATCTTTCTTCCAGCTCTTCGGACAGATTCAAAGAACGGTGAGCATTGTATTTTGATATTGATATACAGAAGATGATTATGTTTGAAAACAGTGGCGGCTCGTAGCTAAAATTAGTGAGGGTGCTGCTCCAGAAAATTCCTAACCTTTGTTTTAAAAACTGACTCTCCTGCGCAGCGTCGCGCGCAGCTTCCTATGTGCGCATGCGCGCACAGTCAAAAGCGCGCAACTGAAACTGAAGCGCAATTCCATACAAAGATTTTTGTATCTTTTTCATAAACTAGGGGATGGCTACTGACATTAAGCTTAAAGATTATATATTGTACAAGTATAAAGAAAGAATTAAAGAAAAAGGGATTATATTAAATGTTATCGATAATATCAAGTGGAAATAGGGGGTGCTGCAGTTCCACAGTGTCTATACGCGAACCGCCACTGTTTGAAAGTAAACGAACTGAACTGAAAATAAACTAAATTTCAGCGATCGTTGGATTCACCTGCAGTTTCAGGGTGTCTAAAGGAGAAAAGTATAATCCTATGTTGAAACTAAATACGAGCATGGTGTTCCGTGAGAAGGAACGAAAATATAAGAATATAGTGAGTTTATCAGTGTACAATTTTCATTTCAACTAACAGATCTGACATGATCTATAAACTATCATTGCATTACAGTTCGAGTTGTTGTTCAGAAGAAGCGTTTTAAGCAACGCTTACAAGCAAACAATCATAGACAGGTTCGAAAGCGGTGTTCTAAAAGTGTTCTTCAGAATATATCTGGACAGAAGGAAGATACCGCGATCGATCACGAATGTCGAAGACACGATCGAGGATATTATCGCAAAGGAGACTTATTCATCGTCCTCCTTGTTCAAGGACATGGAACTGGACCTGACGAGTGTATCAGTAAAAAGTGAGCATCCGTTAGATGATTGCGACAAACTAGTGGCACAATTACAATTTCTTCAACCTATATTTAACTGCTATTTAGAAATCATTAACTTACTCGAATAACTGAGATTACTAGCATTGAACAATAACAACTGTATAATACAAGTGATTTTTCTTTGACTCAGGAATAAATCAAGATGTGGCTGGGAACCCAAAGCACGCGCAGCAGAAGAACGCGATGATAACAAAGAACGGTCTTCTCCGACCCAATAGGAACACTTCTCTGATCACAAATTCCAAAGCAAAAACAAAACCTACCCAGATCGAGTCTATCGAGTCTGAAATTGATTTTAGTAACATACCAACGATCCAAGGAACTTATAAAGCGTCAAAAGTGAACGCCACCACGTCAGGTAAAGCAAATTCAACTCAAGAAACAGTGAAACATCAATCAGATACAACGAACAGTACCAAAGCACCTTTGCCTCAAGAAACCACGTCCAAGTCCTCCATCATGGAAGACAATACCCATGCAACTGGCACCACGACGCAAACCACTCCAATCATCGATTCGGTGACAAAAGACAAACTCAATTATACCGTACACGACGATAACCAACAAACTGTGAACAAAGTCTTCGAGACATCCACAAATCCAGTAGAAAGCGAAGATCTTTTCAAGGACTTCCGAAAGCCTGATTTCGAGACTTCGCCATGGAAACCCATCGTACCTGGTTACGTGAACACCGAATTCAAATTATTACCGAACAACGTTGAAAAAACTACTAAAAGTAATAATTATGAAGTAAATTACACTAGTATAGCAGCTGTCTCTGCCACCACCACCACCACCACCACGAAGATTCCTCAAGTTCTTCAAAGTAGCATCCCCCACTCGTCGAAGCCTCCAGAGCCAGCAGAAACCTTGAATGCCTACGTGGATGTTCCTGGCATGAGTACCTTCGACATAGGAGACGCAGACTTTCCTCGTGACAGAATCGTGCCCCAGGAAATGGTGAACTTCAGGGTGAATGGTAAATTCAAGAACAAAATACCTGGTTTGCTGGACGATGGCCAGATCTTCACTGAACCAACGGTGTCTAAGGTTGACCAGAACAGAAGACCGGACATCGAGGTGGCTGGGCAACTGCCACCAGAAACTTACGATGTCAAACTTCGAACATCTTCTGAACCAGAAAGAACAGAATTTCCATTAGCAAAGCCCCATCTCTCTTCCGGTGAAAATGAAACTAGTTGGAGGGTATCTAACGCGTCTTTGGGAATCGATAATGAAAGGATAGATGAAGATAACGATGATTCGAAGGAGAAGGAAAGTTCGGATAACTTGTTGGTGAGCTCAAGTACCCCAAAATCGGTTCAGAATCTGGATACCGAAGAAGAATCCACGACTGAAGTGTCAGGAGTTGGGGTAGCAGAGCCTGTCTCAGACGTGGACGTTGAATTGGAGGCAAGAAATCGGTACTCGGATATCCAAGCGGTTACCAAACAACAGAGCGATGCTTTACAAGACAGGAAGGTTGATAAAAATGCTGAACAACCTATTTATACCAGCTACAAGACGCCTGATCTGAACGGGGCAGGTATAAAGCCGAGTTTGATCGAGAGTTCTGGGACGTTGATGCCGTTCAGGCACACGATACCCGTAGACAAGATCACCTCCGTTGTGAACAACGATAAAAATCAGCAGAAAGATTCATCGAAACATCAGATGAACGCTGTGACGGACAGTATAATTAACAGCAAGGAAAAGCTTACACAGAATCATAGATTAAACACAAATGACGAATTAAAGAAGAACGTGACCGAGAAAGAGGCAACCAAAGTGTTGCCAGAGAATTTGAAGGCCACGATCAAAATGGAAATTCCAGTTGAAAATCGGGACAATACCTTCAGAACAAACTCCCCTATGAAACACGCGAAGATCGAGTTAGCGGAACATGCTGAAGTAACAGAATCAAGTACAGATATCATAGATAATGAAAAATTTCTTAAATTAAGTACCACCGAGGTTTACTCGGAGATGATACATCCATTGTACAATAACATTGACAAGTTAGTTGTTAAGAATGAAGAGACAAAAACACCCAGCTTGTCCAGGAACTCCACGTTCATTGAGATCGACACGTTGAAACACACCCCAGGACAGTCTGGAGATGAATCGTCCTCGTCGGAGGGTAAACCACTGGATAGAGTTGAAGGATTAGACGGCTGGTTGTTCAATGGAACTGTGAATCGACCTTCCAGCTCTTCGGGAACTCGTAAGAAGGTCTATAACGATACGTTGAAGGCTTATGTGGTAGAAAATCTAGTGACTCTAGCGCCTGCTAAAAGTAACACTGGTGTGGGTAGACCCGTGAGACCCAGACCCAAGCTCGACGAGAAATCTACGAATAGAAGTTCCTCCGATGATTCGATGCTCCTGGAACAATTGTTTGGAGTTCATAGCAGAGATAAGAACACGACGAAACGAAATTCTTTTGATCAGGATCACTCGGAGCTTCGGGGTGATGCAGAAGAGTCGAAGAAACAGGGTAAGATCGAACAAATCGTCGAGGTCGTCACGTCCATCAGCACCAAAGTGTCCTCGAACTTTAAAGGAGATCCTGTCGTATTGAAATTCGTCGTTACCAATTCGACGTCACTTCCGGTGATACATACAGAGCTACACGGAGAAGATACCTCATCCTCGCAGATATCAATACCTGAAAAACTACCTGCTGATAACAACAGAGAGGAAAACCGTTCTTTCAGAGATCAGAGTTCTAATCAAGGTAGTCTAACCTGGGCACAAGGATCTTCTACTAATGTGCAGACGTCGGATAGGAAGATCTCTGCCGTTGAAGAGAATCGGTTTCTTTTGGAAAAATTGAAACAGTTGGCTTCAATTGGAACCGGTGAACAACCTGCAAGAGATAGAAACTCGTCAAAACCAATTGTGGAGATGTTGAGACCTTCTAACGTGAACATGGAACCTCGACCGTTGCCTGATTTTGAGAAATTGAAGGAGATCGCAGACATTGCAACTGGAAATGAGACTTTGATGAACTCCAGTGCTGGATTTACCATGACTCGTGATGGCGTTGAAATACTGACTAAGATCTTGAACAAAATGGAGGATCGTACTGATAAAATGATAATCTCTACGACTGAGCAGAATTTAGAAGCTGGTAAATATGATTGAAACTTTGAGAAATATATAGGGTGTCCCAGTTTCAGTGTTCCCAAAGTAAGTGGGCGATAGAGGGCATCATTTCCGACAAAAAAGGTCTTATAATAATATGTTTGAATTTTGATGGTACAAAAATTATTTCAATTTTAGTGATTTTCTACCTTTCGCAACAAAATCCGTTTGTAGTAAGATTATCAAAATTTTACATGATCGAGTCCACGAATCGAGATTTTTCTAATAGAAAACACGCTTTTCGTGAAGACATTTTCTTTCATAACGATACTTTTAAAGTTAAAGACCAAATACCAAAATCAGTAATTATTCAAAATAAAGAGATATTTCATAAACTTTTCTAGCAAATAGAAAACAATTTGTTTTTCTGCTTAATAGCCACATTAATCAAGTACATGTAAGCTGAATTAAAATCCAATCCACTGAGTAGTTTAGTAATGGTGATAGATTTTGTTACGAATCACTAACATTGAAATAACTTTTGAATCATCAAAAATCGAACATATTATTATAGGACCTTTTTTGTCGGAAATGATGTCCTCTATCACCCACTTGCTTTTGGACCACTGAAACTGTGACACCTTGTATACCTGAGGTGTTTGGGATATAATTATCTACAGGTCGGATCTTCTTTCACAGATCGTTGTTTCGGTTTCCAATGCAGAGACGGGAAATGTTTACCAGCCAGCGGTAGATGCAACATGCTAGGCGAATGTTCGAATTCAGAAGACGAGGCCAACTGCACGTGCGCTGAATTTTTGAAAGCGCAACTTTTACATCAGAAGATTTGTGACGGTGTCGCGGATTGTTGGGATTATTCGGACGAAGCAGATTGTGGTATTTATCGTTCACTGTAACATAAACAATTCGTTTTGATTATTCATTAGTAAAGGGAACTACCCAAGTGTAACGCTTACTTATTAATGAAACTTCGCCACCTTGTAAGGCTCGTTGAGCTGAACACGCCTATATCCAATTTTAGGGGCATACGGCTAATTGTTTAAAAAATATTAACAATGGAAGTTAGGTAGTCCTTAAATTGATAAACTTACGTATACAAACAGTTAGCTCCGCGGTAAAACGCATGACTCGCAATGTAAAGGTCCACGGTTCAAATCCTGGTTCCCAACTTTTTTTTTTTTATTATAATTTTTTAATTATAATTGTTGTTAATAATTAATTACATACGCTGCTATTTATATGGAATTTAAGTTATGTTTTCTATCCAATAGCTCGAGTTTCATTAATAAATGAGCATTACACTTGGGTAGTTCTCCTTGTAAAACTATCTATACCTTTTTTTAACAATTGCTTGTTACATTCCCAACTGTTTAACAGATTGGTGCGAAGAGGGTCAATTCGTTTGCGGGAACAGTCGATCCTGCATAGACCAGGATAAGGTTTGCAACGGTTTCACTGATTGTCCTGGAGGAGAGGACGAGAAGAAGTGTGCTGCGTTGATCGAAGACGAGGCAATGTTAAATTATTACAAAACAAACGCGTTTCCTAACAATGAAAATCGTAATCCTGGCATCGTTACAACAGAATATGAAGAAGATTTCTTAGAGACAGAATCTACCACCAACAGGGACATCTTTGATCAAGAAGCTGTCGAATCTTTGATCTCAGAATCAACTACGTTACGTGCCACATTTAAAAGCAATGTTCAATTGGAGAAGATTGTAAGCACCAAAGATGTTTCTACTATGGAAGAAAGCTTGTTTGACAATCGTAAACATTCAAAGACGGCAGCTCTCGTCTCGGGAAGAGAAATATCGTCGAACACGAAGGATATCCTTACTCATGGGAACTCTATTCACGTAAACACAAAGAAGAATGACACGACTGCGATTAATTTCAAAAAAGAGATTAACAGTTATCACGAGAAAGGGTATTTAAATATTCGAAAGAATGGCAAATGGGGGAAATTGTGTTTAAACGGAATGGACGATCTTTTGCAAGAGAGACAAGCTATTTGGACAATCGAGGACCTCGGTAGAGCTGTTTGCAAAGCGATTACTTATCAGTAAGTACTAATTTGAATCAAAATTAATTTGCTTAAATTCGATTTTTCTAACGTTTCCTAAGAATTATTTAAAATTATGAAAAATTATTTTAAATGAAATTTAAATTTTTCATCGTTTCTCAGAGATTACGATACAGTAGAGAAGGTATTGGACGAAAAGCCAGCATCCAACAGCGTGTATTACACTCTGTCTTACAACGAGAAACCTACGGACAAAACGATTCTGACTTTCAAACCATCCAAGTGCCCGACCGGTGAGATTCTCAGGGTCAAGTGCAAGAACCTTGAGTGTGGAATAAGAACCCAGACCCCGTCGCAGGCCAGGTATATACCCGCTCACTGAACCAGTTTCTCTTAATTATACGTGTACCGTCCAGATCCATCGTTTACAAAACTATTTGTATACAAATGCGCTCGAGGATAACGACCTCCTTCTGAGGCTCGATATTAACATTAAAGAGAGGATGTAAACGCTCCGCAGAAAAATTACAATTACTATGATCGTTGTTGAAATAACCAGCTGCGTTGTCTTCGTGTAGCAAATTTTTATCCAGCCTGGCGAAGGTGCTATTAATCTTCTGCGATCCAAGTGTTCCTCCTAGAAAAATAATTCAATGTATCAGTAATTTCTTCTGTGACCTTTATTCAATCTCAACGATTAAACGATTCGAGCCACTCCGATTCATTGAAGCAGATCGAATGTTTCACGACGTTGCAGAATAGTCGGAGGTGGTAGTTCCTCGACCGGAAGTTGGCCCTGGCAAGTAGCTTTGTACAAAGAAGGCGACTATCAATGTGGCGGGGCTCTTATCAACGAGAGATGGATTCTCTCCGCGGCGCATTGCTTTTATCAGTAAGTAAGATCGTATTAGTTAATTATTGAAACTTACACCATAATGCAATTAAAAATCTGAATATTTGCTGCAGTGCTCAAGACGAGTACTGGGTAGCGAGGATCGGGGCAACTCGCAGAGGAAGTTTTCCAAGTCCTTATGAACAAGTGTTGCGTGTAGACCACGTATCCTTGCATCCTGATTACATCGACAATGGATTTATAAACGACATAGCGATGTTGAGGCTCGAGAAACCGGTAATCTTCAGCGATTATGTTAGACCGGTGTGCCTTCCTCAAGCAGAAGCCAAAAGTGGCACCATGTGCACCGTAACTGGCTGGGGACAACTGTTCGAAATAGGAAGGATATTTCGTGAGTAATAATTACTTGCATTCGTTAAGAGGATAAAAAATTTGAAGAAATTTATACTGTACACTGTACACCTATACCTCGCTATACGGCCGCTGTTTTTACGACATTTCGCTATAACGGTGTAGGCGTTTAGTGGAGGGGGAAAGGGTTTCGTCTCCCTGGACGCCTTTGGTTCGGGCCGGGGACCGCTAGGTGGCGGCGAGATGATATTGTGTTCTCGCTGGCGGTCGCCCGGCATGCAGTTCAAATATGTATGTAGGAATTCCGAATTGCGGTATGATGGGTGTGTGGGGCAGGGATCGTCTGTTGTCAGTCCCACTGACGAGTTTGACAGATGATCCCGTAAATAAGTAAACTTAAAAAAAAAACACAGGCGATCCCAAGAAGAAACGTCTTTTTCTCCCCTCTCCTACAACGGCCTTTTTTAATTACGGCATTTTTTCAATTTACGGCTCGCAATGTTTCGTTATACGGTCAAAAAAATGCTGTACTTTTATTTTTACGTAAGCATTTTTATAGGAAATGAAAAGAGAACTATATTATTTTATAAAAAATTGGAACAGATTCAATTGAATTTGTATTGGTTTATATAAAAATAATTGATTCGTTATACGGCTTTTCGCTTTACAGCCAACTTTTCCGGAACGTATCTAGGCCGTAAAGCGAGGTATGGGTGTACAAGGAATTATACGTATATGTATATGTTAACCCTTTCGCTGCCACGGTGGTCCCATGGGACCAGCGCTTATCTTTTCATTTGGGCCATGGTGACCACCATGAATTTGTTTAAACTGTGTCACGGGTGACATTATTGGCAAGATTGTACAGTTATTTTAATACATTTCGCAGTTCTTTGCCATTATAAAATTTTTAATATGAAATTTGTATCGTGGCCCACTTGTGCGAGTTTAGAAATTCGCGTGGCAACGAAAGGTTTTAATAAAACAGTATTTTGTCAAACAGCGGATACCTTACAAGAAGTACAACTTCCTGTGATTTCAACGGAGGAATGCCGAAGAAAAACTCTCTTCCTTCCACTGTACAGGATCACATCAGGGATGCTTTGTGCAGGTTTGAAGGACGGTGGAAGAGATGCTTGCTTAGGAGACAGTGGCGGACCTCTGGTTTGCTCAGCATCAGACAACAAGTACACTCTTCACGGTAAGTTTCTCTATACCTGCTATTTCATTAGAATTATTTAATTTTAATTGTAACACGTCTTTCTTAGGAATAACGTCGAACGGTTACGGTTGTGCCAGACCCGGAAGACCCGGGGTCTACACAAAAGTTTATCATTATCTTCCATGGATTGAGCATATCCTATCGGCGAAAGACATTCGTTCGTCGATAGCTTCTTGCAAGGGTCATCGATGTCCTCTTGGCGAATGTTTACCAAAATCTCGTGTATGTAATGGATTTTTAGAATGTTCAGATGGTAGCGATGAACGCGATTGCCCTGTTAATCTTTAATCTGTTAACCAGCTCGTTTCTTCACCAGAAAATGATCATTTATTTCCTGTAAGTGTAATAAAAAATGAAGGGTAATGAGTCACTTCGTATCATCCACGACAAGTATGTGTTAAAATAAAATACTGCGTTTTTCTGTTAATATACATACAGTGAGAGGCAAAAGTGAGTAGACATTGTTCATAATAGAATACCTCGGTTAAAATTGGACTAAATAACTTGAGGTTTTTTGAGAAGCTATAAAAATTAATTCACTAAAATATTTCATTGTAATTTGTAATTGTAATTTTAAAATTGTAATTTCTTAAAACGATGAAAATACATATTTTAGTGAATTCATTTTTATAGCTTCTCAAAGAATCTCAAGTTATTTAGTCCAATTTTAACAGAGGTATTCTATTTTCAACAGTGTCTCCTCACTTTTGCCACTCACTGTATATGTAATGATATTATGAAAACGAAGGAATGTTTAACGCTAGAACAACATATCCTTTAGTTAAATACCATTTTTAAAGGATTTCATTGTTCTATCGTTAAACTCGTCCTCCCCGATTAACAGATTAACGATAAAAGACTGAACTGGTATCTCTGTATATTTATTTTCTTAACAAATTTAATATTAATTTAATTTAATTAACTATTAAGATTGCTGTAAAATATTTGTATGCTCGTCGATTGAATAGAAATGTGCAATACATAGCTAGAAATCAAAATGATTGAAGATAAATGTTTAGAGAGTGGATCAGTGATTGGATTGTTAATTAATAAATATAATAAACGCGCTGATTCATACTCTATTACACAATTATCTTTACGTTTGATGATTAACACGATAGAAAGGTAAATATGATAATGATTAAGCGTTTAAAAGATTTTTTAATGATAACGAATAATCACAATGAATAGTATTACTGAGTCATTCGTATGACTCGGCAATACTGCATATACATTGGAATATTTAGATGAACCTGGTATTTTGATTCTTTTGTGAATCTTAAGGCCATGTGTATCTTTACGTCGATTCAATTCTCTCTACATAGTGTGTGTAAATATTATATCTAATTATGTAAAAAAAAAAAACACTTGATACTAATAAAATACGGATTTTTAGAAAAAAAAAAAAAAATATTTACAAACTAAAGTGTGTTCCTTTTTGAATGCTGCAAAACTTCCATGTTATCCATTTTCAGAGACATAAAAAGGTGTTAATGAAGGCATCACGGATGAAAGGAATCGATGAAAGTGATCTGGATCATAAAGGATCAGGCGATGGTCTTGGTTCCTGAAAAAATATAAAGAATCATGGTAAGACCGTATTTAAATGGTATATTAATTTGTTTTATTAGGACAATTAGAAATAGCACTGAAAATCATATTCAGAAATAAATATTAATTATTCTCGATAATAATACTCTATCGATTATTAAAACGAAGAATGTTAGATACTACTCCGTTAACGGCAGTACGATCCTTAATGATTAAACAATAATCTCAGTCACAAATTAAATCACCACTCTGTAATCAAAGCTCATTAGTACCATTATAGAAAAATCGTATTTGTTGTTCTCGTATCTCTTTCCCACGTGAAAAGGATCAAACTGCTGAATTCATTAATTAGTCTAAATGATCTTCTGTCATTCTAGATCGTGCCTTTAAGTGTAACTCTAATATTAGATTATACCTACGATTAGCACAATGTACCGAACGGTAAAAATCACAATGTAAATTTACGTCACGTTCAAACCGCACAGCTTTTGAAAGTTTAATTAAATCACGTTTATCATGCCTTTTTATTTGTTCAAGCTGTTTATGTTTTCTTCTTATTCATCTCTCAAACGATTAACACCATCAAGACTTTTGCACAATCATTTTGATTATTTTGCATTCACGCGTTATCCCACTAAGAACGTATGAAAAAAATTCTCGAAAATTCTTCAAACATGCGCTCGCGTTCGATCGAATATTAGTCATTAAATAAATTTCACTCTATTTACATGTCGTGAACATTTATCAATTCGGAAGACTCCTCGAACAAATGATCGAACTTTGAAAATCTGCAAACACGAAGCAATTCGATGAAATAAATAAAGAACAGCTAGGAAATGAGAGAGATAAATATTTACTGCAAAAGTCTAGAAGGTAATATATCAAACTATTGATATGACGTTCCTAATACTTTATAAATTACTCATGAATGCTTCCTGATTTTCATTTTCACGGATATACGCCACAACTGAAAAGTATTTACCCAGATACGTTTCGTGTTAATAATTCAGCTCTCCTACATTAAAATTTCTAAAAGGACAGGTATAACAGCTTCTGTACTGGTTAGAGATTCTTTAATCTTACAGGTAAGAGTATTTCATAGATTTAAAAAAAATCTATCATAAAAATCATTAATCGCAAAGAACGCACTAGGTGAAATGAAAATCCGATTAATATTCTAAAGAATATTAGTTAGAAGAATATAAAAAAGAACTAACACTGAGGAAATACTTTTTAGATATAGCATATAAATCGCTTGATGCTCTTCTCGCACTGGAAACACTGGGTGGCAATTCCTTTTATCGGGACGACTGAAATCTTGACGGATTCGATATGGACAAAAGTTCGAACGCGATAAAAAAGTGGTGTAAATGTATAAAAGTCCGATTCGCGGATTAGAAAAACTTTTGTCCATACCCTAATATTACGATCCGACGTACAGTCTCCTTATTTCAGCACCAACGTGCGTGTGATAACAATTTCGTGAAGATTATTGATTCTATTTAACATTACCACCTTTTGGCAAACGAATCACAGAATAATTAGAAATTTCTTTAATTAACTCTATATTACAAACAACATATTCGGTTTTAATCGAATATCTGCATGTATGCGCGTAGTGAGGTGAAGATAAAAGGAGCGCGCCTTTACCGACAGAGGGGATAATACCGACGCACGATCTGCATTACCATCACCCCATAACTAACATAAATTTGACAAGACTCGTTCAACCGAACACGGTTTTAACTTGAATCGAAATTTCTATTTAAAGAGAATCTATAATCTTCGTGAAATGCCTTTAACACCATTGAAACGGATAGAGAACTGTTTGAAAACATCATTTAATCGAATTATCTAGTTGAATTCTACGATTTCGAAAATGAAACTCCCGTACCCATTCTCTAGCTTCCTTCCTATCTCTCCTACTTCTTAAATTAATCGAAGAAGCAATAAATAATAAATCGGTGATTCCTCTGAAGATGATACCCTAATGAGCTGTACTCTTTAGACAGACGTTTAGCTTATGCTATAAGAGTTAATCGAATCGCCAATTTCTTTTAACCCAATGAATCGACCGCGATCGTGCTGAGACCCTTTGGACTGATGGTGGTTTTGAATTGTTCTGGTATGGGATACTCCGCCTGTAAGAATATAGAAAAACAACAAGATATGAATATATGTATATTCAACATTATTAATTATTTTAAAATAATTTACATAATCTCCATTTCCTTGGGGTATCATCACGTTCATCTCGCTGGATTTGCTGCTGATGAATTCCACGTTCATTGATTCCGAGCTCAAGTACATTTGACAACCGTCTGTTTTATCGATGGATATAGTGGGGACTTTTCCAAGTACCTGCAATCAATGATGATGAAACAAATAAATGAAATTAATCTGATATAAAAGTTGACAAATTGTGTATACACGCTATAGATACACGACGAGAAAGGAACAGCTGCGAGTCGCGGTTTCTTTCGATTTCTCTCGTTTCCCGTAGTTCACATCCTGAATAGTTAAATAGATGAATTGATTGTACACTAAATAGCATCTGATAACCATTTTCAAAATGCACTGGCAATTTGGTAAGCTTTTCCATATACTCATAGAGTACACAGGGACTATGTACAATCCCTATAATAAGAAAATTGTACAACACCTACTTTACTGATGACTGCAAAAGTCGTATTATAAATTCTGAAACGTATAATTTGTATACGTATAAACAGGCGGAAACCTGGAACCCGTGCAAATGATTTGTGAACTCAACTGGAAGCAATGCCCTAAAGCAATCGCAAATTATATTTGGGACGAGATCGTAACCGATGTCCTCGACTGCTTGAACAACGAAAGCATAATCTGGCGGGTACAGAGAATTATTATTATTGAATTGAAACGAATTAGAGCGACTTAGAGGTTTATGAACATAGCGATCAGGTAAGTTGTTGAAATTTGATTAGACATTTTCATTTTTACTTCTATCTGAACGCTATGTTCACGATTTTATAAACTGAACCTTAGAAAGAAAGAATAAAATAAACGTTTCTGTCCTGACGAGTGTTAATGTGTTTACTTTTTTTTTTTTTTTCAAGATTTTAGCAGTATTACTCGCGTGTATCATGTTACTGCATATAATATCCTGCAGAACAAAAGAATATATTGAGACTACTGTAGATAAAGAGATGCTTAACAAAGTCGGATACAAAATGGAAGACCTAGAACTAAAAGTTAATATACTGACATACAAAATGCAATATGGATGTTGGCCATTGCCTCATCAAGTCAAGAAATCGAACTTCAGGAAACATTTGAGAAATCTTAGGCTAACCATGTCCAGTCCGAACGATCGAAATAATTGGATAAAACATGTGCTGTTAAGGTATATAAATATGTTAAAGTATTCTAATCAGTGGCGGCTCGCGTATAGGCACTGTGGAGCTGCAGCACCCCGTATTTCCACTTGATATTATCGATAACATTTAATATAATGAGTCCTTTTTTCCTTAATTCTTTCTTTATACTTGTACAATATATAATCCTTATGCTTAATGTCAGTAGCCATCCCCTAGTTTATGAAAAAGATACAAAAATCTTCGTATGGAACTGTGCGCTTCACAGTTTCAGTGGCGCGCTATTGACTGTGCGCGCATGCGCACATAGGAAGCTGCGCGTGACGCTGCGTAGGAGAGCACTGTCGCTCTCGCAGTGGCGGTTTTTTTAAAACAAAGGCTACAAAATTTTCTGGAGCAGCACCCCGACTAATTCTAGCTACGAGTCGCCACTGATTCTAATAGAAAATAATTTGTAACAAAGCTACTAGATCATCAACATTCCACGCAGCATAGAACACGACGAAGCAATTAAATTATTTATTAAAACAATAAATTATTTTTCTAGTCCAAGAAGAAACGAGTCGTATGCTTCGTACCCAAAATACGATTATCGTTCGACGCATGGCCTAACAGAACTGTTCGATGCAAGGAAAAAGATCGTGTATCCGTATCTTCGGCAAGAGAACTTGCCAGTAGAGCGTAGCAGTAAATCATCGAAAAGTAGCAGCGATAAATCTCTAAAGTACCATTAACCGTTTAACGTACGATCCCTATAAATGTCAATGGTGTGTCAAGTTTAACTCTTTTCCAGACTGAATTCGATATTCAAAAGAAAACTGAACAGAAACGTTCGAGAAGCGTCGATAAACGAACGTTTCGAGATGCAAAATCGAAACGCTATATCGCTTCCGTTGTTCTCGAGAAATAGAAACAATAAATCCACAAATAAACTGAGCAAAGATTCGAGACGTTTCAAGAGCAAGATAATGACCGGAGCTTGCAAGGAGTTCGTGAAAACCATGGACGAGTGTAAAAGATACTTGAAGGAATTACACGACAGCAATAAAAATCTTGGCTTAGTTTGTACTTCCTCTAACACAAGCGACGAATCCTCCATCAAAGATTGGTCAGAGATACAGGTAAAGTGAGTGAGATAATTTTAGAAAATAATAATAATAAATACATATCTGATTTTCTTACAGCAACAAAAGTGTGAGAAAGAGAACAAGACCGATAAGACCAATAAGGAAGAAACAGATTTGAAGAAAACAGATACAAGACAAAAAACTAATGAACAGTGTTTAAAACTGTCTAACGACATTTGTCCCACACTAAAATTCAGCGATAAACGCATAGTTCCGTCCAAAATGAATATAACATTTTGCACCGACATGTTCCCGCCACAATCCGTCTCGAACATGTTAATAACAGAAGAACCGTGTAACCGAACGAAATTCATAAAAACGTCTCAGGAGGCTCTGTACCGAGTGAAGAGAAAACTGGAAAGTCTGCACAATGTCTTACGCATGTACGAGATGCAGAATATAGAAGCAAAAGCATCGGCAGGGTTGCAAGAAAGTAATAATAAAATAAAGAGTATCTGTCAGAACGTTGTGAAGACAATCGTCTCTGCTACAACAGAGGCCGACAAGTGGAACGATAGTAAGAAAAATAGAGTGAATTTTAATATCGACACCAGAAAGAACCCCGATGAAGCGCAATGTACAATGTACAACAGCTCGGAACATGACAGCGATGCAACAGCTAAAAGTTCAATGGGATCTGTTCACAGTTACTCCGCTACGTTCGACGCTTGTCCGATCAATGATCCTCGGTACTTGTTTCCGAACAGGTGCGAAACAAATATATACCCTTCCATCGCTAAATTGGGCTTGATGCACGACAGAAAAATTGTATACTCTTCTAGCAGTAAATATGGAAAGATACCTGAAAGAGTATATTATACTATTTCATCCGATTCAGATGAAGGTAAAGACGTTAAGAAAAAAACAGAAATAAGGGTAAAGAAACATTTAGACCCCCTACCAGATATGTACATTGATAAGAATGAAGAAAAATCATTTGGCTTCTCTGATCAATATCCAGTTCCAATGGAAACCGATGAAGACTTGATGATAATGTCGCCGACATCAAGCCATACAGAGATGTCAAAGGATAGCGAGTCTGAAGATAAATCCACAGCACTGTTGCTACAAGAAGCACTGCAATTTAAGAAAGCATTGTTAACACGTGTTGAACTTGAAAAAGTATGCTACATAGAGCAGAAGAAAGATGATACGAATGATCAAACTGAATGTGACAAGTACACTTACGTTAACAATAATCTTCAATCAAAGTTCCTGGATATCATAACGGAGGAACAGTCTGTCAGTAGTTCTACCGACAAAACCAGTCGAACTTACATGTTTTATAATGTAAAACAAGAGAAAGAACAGCCACGCTCTTCTATGGTTAATAATAATATACCAGAAATTAGGGATTCATGTACGTATAAAGAATGTTTGAATTCAAAAGACAATCTTAATTCGCCTTCAGAATATTTCAGTTTCACTAATATAATCCAAGAAAACAAGAACCAATTACCTGAACTGAAACACAATTACTTTCAACAAAATGTACCTACACAAATGATTCCTAGTAATGTGCAAATAAAATGTTTTAAAGATGTTTCAGGAAAGTCTAATGTAAAACTTACAGAAATGCATTACGCAAACTGCTTGAATGCTTCGAATACAGATACGAATAAGCAGAAAATTTGTTACGAATACATAAATGAGAAAGAGAACTTTGGGAAGCAATTATTATATTTGAATAACAGAAGTAAGTTTATGAATCAAAGTATTCATAGCGTGGAATTGTATTCAGAAAATTTAGACGAAGCTATTCTAAATGAAGAAAATGAAAATTCAGGCGCAGGTGTAACTAATTTCTTAAACTCTGAACAATATATTAATGTGACCTACGATAAAGGCACAAACGACAGTGTAATAAATACAAAGATAAATGTAACGAATAATGAGAAATACATTAAAGATAACGAAATTCCAATGCACATTCCAAATTTTAATTTAAAAAGACATCCGGGTGCATGTTCGCTGATCGAACAAGTGCTAGTAGCAGACATAGGAAAAGAAGCAGAAACGAATATGATGCTTGAAAATGATAATGAAATATACGAACTCTCGGCCACCGAAAGTAAAGAAACTTCAACTGAAACGAATCTAATACAGGATTCATTAACATCAAGCATCAATCAGTCGAACGATTCTAATATTCCTGAACCACCATCTGTAACAGTATTGATTAATAAATCATTAGAGGAAGAGAAATTAAATTTAAATTGGTTAAATGTCAATCGTAAGTTCAGTGACGATTGTGTTAATGAAACGAACATAAAAACATCGTCAACGAACACAATTACTCTTCTAAAATATGATACAGCAAATACGAAAAATTACTCTAAAAAGGAAACAACATACGATAATCATCACGATCAAAACACTCAACTGAAGGATGAAAATAAAAATTCAATCACAGGAAATCTATTTGCAAATCTGGGTAAAGAAGATTTGAATAACGAGGCGGACTACTACAAATCTTATACCACCCTCGTTTCTCCACACAGTAGTTTATATTTTACAGATGAGGCCTCAAGTTCCACTATAAAATTGAACAGCCATTCGGTGAGTCTTGAAAACCATTTACATTCAAATTTATATATACAGAAAAATAATGAAGGAAAGCTTAAAGATGAAGATTTAAAAGGCATTAAAAACGCAGAAACTGCGTCAAACGAGAACAAAAAAATGAATGTTACAATTACAAGAAATAATGAAGAAACATCTAAACAAACATTATCAAACTGTGAGAGCAATGTGTACAGTAAAAATGATTTACCTTCTCCTAAAAATGATATAAAAAGCACAAATGTATTAGAAACTGAAATACCTGACAGTAATAACTCTAACTTGTTATCGTCAAAAACTATGAATGTTACGCCTAACAAAATAGAATCTAATTTATTGTTAGATTCCATGGAAAGATTAAATGTAGACCACAAATATTTCTCACCTAATACCTCGCCTCGTGAAATTTTTCCAGCAGAAACGAATCAACATGAATCGGTAAAATCAAAAAGTCACGAAAGCTATACTCCAAAATTAGAAAAATTGGAGAAGTCAGACCTAAGATTCGAGCTGTTGAGCAGCGATCAAATCAGAAGTGAAAGTAATAAAAATTCTGCTGAGCCAAGACGTGCTGTAGAAAATAATATTGAGCTAGATAGAAAAAGATCCCGATCACAAACAAGCTTTCGAACGAACCAAATACCAAAACAAGTTGCTTCACGTTCACACGAATCTCCGGTAAGCAGTATAAGTACCATAAATGATACAAAATCGCTGGAAAATAAATTGAAATTAAAAGATCATATAAAATGTTTATCACCAACGCCGAAGACTTCTTCAAAGTCTTGTATACCAATTCTGAAAAGCAGACTAGAGGCAGCTCGTCGATCAGATAATGAAACACGACCTAAAAGTCCGATGAGAGGACCATTAACGATGACTATGTTCTGGAAAGATAATTTATGTAATAAAAACGACAATGTAATGGACGAGATACAAGTAGAAGGTAAATCAGAGAGTAATAATCAATATATAAAATTAAACAACAGCTGTGTAGAAAAATCAGATGGTAATAATAATCGTACTGATACTACGAAATCACCAAGTATCGTACAAAATACAATTAAAAATGCTGGTAATAATATTGCTCAGCAGGAACAAGTGGTAATATACGTTAATATATTCACAAAACAAGATCATAATACAACAAAAATTGTAGATCCAAATAAATTTTTGGAATATATTAAAAATAGAGAATTAAATATACAAAAAGAAGTAGAAAGTGAAGATAAGATAAAGAATGAAATTCACGAAGCCCCGACAGAAAATGAAAATAGTAGGATGCATAAAATTGTTACTATCGTTTCTTCTGTTATAAATGGCAACGAATTAGATCAGCAAAATGCATCTACCATTAAAACCCAAAGTGGATCGATGTTCAATATTTTAACGAACGATCAATTAAAAAATCTGTGCTTTCTTTCCGTCGAACAACGAGAAATCGACGTGACCGCTAAACCATCTGTTATCGATACAAGTACTTCGATCTCGGATTTAGAAAATGTTTTAGGTCAATCGGACAGCGTATTAAATAAGTTTCAAATATGCGGAATACCTAGAGAACTGAACAACGAAGAATACGTAACATTATTGGAGATCCTTCATCAAGAGGCAAATTTTGTACACCTACAAGAATTGCAAAATATCTGCAAAAAGCTCGTGTCAGAAGATTTAAAATCAAAGTGACAATACTATTATCCATTGTTAAATTCATAATTGACGATCATTGCTATACATTTTTAATACCATACCTTTATTTTCTGATACAGGACGTGTACTCCATGTAATTATATTATGTATATACGTATACGTTTGGAAACAAATATATTTTTTACATATTACACCAAATCTATGGTACGTGAGCTCATTTTTTTATTTGTAAAAAAAAAAAATTAAACATACCTGCATTTGTACGCTCTGGCAGTTGACAAATTCGATGCTCGACACAAGAGAATCGAATACCACAGACGACTTACGACACGAATCCATGACAATGGAGTTAACTTTGCCTTTGATAACTAAAGTACTGTCTTGACATCGGAACATGTAAATCACGTTGTTCATTTCTACATTATCAATCAGCAGATCTTTGTTGCCTTTATGATATTCCTAGAGTAATAAATAAATTTACATTTGTAAATAAAGTAGATCTTTTTAGCAGGCTAAAAGAATAAATACCAATTACATACCACGAGCCATTTCTTTCCATCCCTAGTAAATACTGGTGGTTTGTCAATTGGCGCATTTGCAGGCGGTACGATTTTTGTTGGTATAGAATTACCAACTAATGGTGCTTTAAATGGTGCCGGACCAGTCCTCAAAGAAGGATTTTTATGCGTCTGCATATCAGATGTTACTTTCTTTAAATCTATAAAATCAATCGATTAGTTTAATCAATTTTACTGCTTAATTGAATTTTTAATATGTTACCCCTTTCGCTGCCACGATGGTCCCATGGGACCGCCGCTTGTCTTTTCATTTGGGCCATGGTGGTCACGGGTGACTACCACTAAGAAAAATGTGCTACTGGCAAGATTGTACCGTTATTTTAATATATTTCGCAGTTCTTTGCCATTATAAAATTTTTAATATGAAATTTGTATCGTAGCCCACTGATGCAAGTTCAAAAATGCGCGTGGCAGCGAAAGGGTTACTATCGCGCTATATTTACTCTTTGTAATAGCTTCTCCCTGATTGATTTCGGCGAAAAGAGCACTTCTATCATCGGCGATATTGGCTGGCGCGACATCAGCCATGGGCATACATGGTGGTGGTGGTGGTGGTATGCCTACTGGTGCAGAGCCAGTTTTTGCCCACACTAGTCCTGTTGTGTGATGCTGACGTACATACTGTTGAAGATCACTTAGCGTTTGTACCCAAGCCTTGCACCATTCGACATGTACTTTATCTCTGTAAATACAAAAGAATAACCGTTATCAAAATAATTGAAAAAAATTTCATGTTATCGTTTTAATCGCCCATAATGCACGCTTACTTTTCTTTCCAATCTTTTAACACCCGATTGGTATAAAACTGTCCAGCATCGTTCATTTCTTTTACATAAGGTGCTGGCGTAGGCGAGACAGCAACCCATCCTAAAGCTGGAATACTCTCACTTATCGCTGACAAATGGTTGAAAAACTGAGAGCCTCTATTCTTTTCACGAAACTCTTGAATCTGTTGAATTTGTGTAGAAGTAGGTCCAAGAAGACCGACCTGTTCTGTTTGATTTGTTGGGGCTGGACGAGTAGCCGCAGTTCGAATAAATTCAAGCTGAATTCTATTAAAGAAATATTAATTATTAAACTACTTGAGCGCACTGAAAATCTGAAATGGGATAGTGACAGATTACGTACTGAAATGCTTTTTCTACAAGCTTACTATGAGTAGCTACATCTCCGCCAATCTTTGCACTCAATTGCAAATATTCGTTTACAGGACCAGCTAAAAGATCTTCATAGCCTGCGACTGACATACTGATAACTTGGTTTGTTGAACGGACAGGTGAAGAAAGCTGTACCGATTCACTGTTTTTCACTGGCTGAGACCTCTTTGGCGATGGTGTATTTGTTTGAGCAGCGGAGTCCTGAGTTTCAGTTACAGGCTGTCCTCTTACGTTCTCCAATCTTTTAGTAACGCTCTCCAATCTATTTACCAGTTCTTCCAAGTGATCCTCTTTGTCGTTACCTTCACAGCCTTTAATGTAAAACAGATTTTATAAAGTACTATAGAAAAATCAATGTAATGTTATAAATATTTAAAAAAATAATAAATTCTATTAATAAAATAACTACATTCCTTAATTATTTATCATTAATCAGCTTAATATCAACTTAGAAACAGTAATTGGAAAAAAGTACACTCCAGAAACTTCACGTTTACAATGAGTATATTAAATATAGAACAAGTTTATAAATAGTTATGTCAACATCCACAGCCATTAAATCATTATGTTGCAAGTAAATGTTAGAAATAGATTGGTGTTTTCTTGAAAGCATATAAAATATTTGCATAGTATAAATTTATGAAAATCGTTCTTATATATGTATTTTAAATTTAAATACTTTATGTAAATTGCATAAAATGAAATGACCAGAATATTAATTTGTTCCATACAATATATAGTTTCAAGGATTCAATAAAACTTGATAGAATATACATGCATACAAAGAAATTAATTCGTTATCGTGGCTTCAGTTTAGCATCCAACAATGTGCCACTTCTTATAAATTACACTTGCTCTATTTATTATTAAATTATCACTACAGCAGAGGCAGTAGGATCGTTCCTGCAAGAGCTCGTCTTTTCAGAAACTCGTGAAGAACTAAACCACGGTTCTAATGATATTCGACGCGAGTATGTGCCGGCCTATTCTTAGGAAATCTGCGAAAATTGAATCATGCGTGGGTAGATAGCATTTCGTATGGATTTCACGTGTTCACAAATTCTGGGCAATTAAACATTTCTCGTATGCTTAATATAAATATAGATAAAGAAACTTAACCGACATTTTATCAAAAATTATAAGTACAAAAGAAACATATGCATAGTTTATGCTTATAATTAAGAAAGAAAGGAATGTCCTGTACGAAAAAGCGTTGAAAAGAATAAACTGTCAGAAACAGTTATTGTTTACCGCTATATAAATTGCTGGAAAAACACGTTTACCTTCTTTTGTTTATTGTGAAAAAAACTATTCGTTAAAGAACACGGTTGAGTTGAAAGGTAAATAGGTCAGACTATAAAAATAGAATTACTAAGGACAGAACACTACACCGGACGGTAACAATATATAAAACGGTGAAAAGTTTTGAGTGTTGAGTTCTTTGCGGTAACTCGGAAACAAATGATTGTACGGGACGACAGCCCCCAAGGTAATATTCTTACATATGTACAGTGGGTCACAAAATTATTCCCTCACCGTTTAAAACAGAATATCTCGTTTAAAATTAGACCAAATGACGAGAGGTTTCTCGAGAATCTATACAAATTAATTTACTAAAATATGTGCTTTTGTCGTTTTACAAAATTAAAACTTGGCAAAATCCTGAAAAAAAATAGTAAAAGGCAATTTTTGAACTTTTTTATTTGAGCCTGTAATGAAAATTTAAAATATGACATTTGTAAATTTGAGTATGTTGTGTATGCTGAAAATTTCATCGAGATCGGTGAATGCACTGAGAAGTTACAAGTAATTAAAATTTCTGAAAACCGTGACTTTTCATCTAAGAACGTGACTTGAATGTTCTTAAATAAAAAATCACGATTCTCGGAAATTTTAATTACTAGTAACTTCTCAGTGCATTCACCGATCTCGATGAAATTTTCAGCACACACATAACTTATTTGAATCTACGAAAGACATATTTTAAATTTTCATTAGAGGCTCACATAAAGAAGTTGAAAAATTACCCTTCACTATGTTTTCTCACGGTTTCAACAAATTGTAATTTTTAGAAAAAACAAAAGCACATATCTCAGTAAATTAATTTTTATAGCTTCTCAAGAAACCTTAAGGCATTTGGTCGAATTTTAAATGAGGTATTCTGTTTTAAACGGTGAGCGAATAATTTTGTGACACACTGTAGTTACATGTACTTTTTGTATGTGTATACTTGAGCTATAGAGTATCCTGATATACTATCCATGACATTTAAAAGGTTTCTCTTAACCACGACTCCAGGGTATCCGCGAAATCATACATTTGCGTAACTTACTGCATATCTGGATAAATAAAAGACACATATTTATTGTATGTGAAATTTTGAAAAATCATGCCATACCAAAACTATAAGGTTATCCAAATTCAGTGTCACATCTTCAAATTGAAATAAAACGCAAAGCAGGGCTGGGCCTAGGCAGACTAGGCAGCCGCCTAGGGCCCCCATAAGACAAATCTAAATTAGTTATACAAGCTTTAATGTTAATTTTATAAATTTTATTTGAGGTACTTAATTAATTAATTCTTATTTCTTAATTTATTTCCCACCAAAGGTTACATATCCCTTCACCCTTGATTTGAGGGTATGTACTTTTTTTATGTCATATATGTGAAGGGGCCCTTTTTTCAGAGCTCTCCTCGGACCCCCAAAATCTCAGGACCGGCCCTGACACAAAGTATTTGATTTTTGTATGGTTACTTTATTTTAATACAAAGTCTATTTTATGACATTAATTATGAAAAATAATATCATTCAACGGTCCTTCTCCACTTTTTTTTTGCGAGGTTGATACGTTTGACCAAATTTAACGAACGAGTAATTTTTCACGAGGAGGGGACACTAATTGCCACCAAGATCAGGTGATTTAACACCATTAGATTTTTTTATGGAGTTTATGGAAAATAAAGTTTACGCCAATAATCCAAAGACTATTGACCAGCTGAGCAACAAAATCACAGTCGCTATTGATGAAATTGAATTTCACTTGTGTGAAAATATAATGAAAAATTGAGTAGAGCCCCTGAAAAAGTAGCTCTAATAAAATTTATAAAATTAACATTAAAGCTTGTATAACTAATTTAGATTTGCATTTACATCGATTAATATTCAAGTAAGCATTACTCTTCTTGCATTCTTAGACGCAAAATCGTCTTATGGGGGCCCTGAACCTTGGGAAACCCTAGACGACCGCCTAGTTTGCCTAGACCCATGGCCAGCCCTGAAATTGGGTGAAACGCATCAGGCCCGTGAAAAATGTCGAGGAGGACATTTAAATAATATTGTCTTTGATAATTAATACAAAAAGCACATACTTCTCATTTTATTTCAATTTGAAGATGTGACACTAAATTTGGATAACCCTATTATAATGAAAGAATATTAATTTCAGGCGTACTTAATACACAAAAGTGAACAAAATAAATCTCAATAAGGAGTATCGATTAAATTAAGAAATTAATTTAAGATGAGCCCTAACCGGTGTGTACCATCGGTCCTAGAGGATCAAACCTCACTCTGTGCTCCGACGCATTTTGTGCGGCATGTAATAAATCGGAGAAGAATCTGTGACGTCTTAAAGCTAATTCATCGCGAGCAACCGGGGTCGCCGGTGGTTCCTGCATTCCGCTGCATTCTTCCGAATCATGTTCACCATCTTCATCCTCCGATAGCCAGCGAGGATCGGACGAAACTGCGCGTCGTACATTTCAATATAAAAAAAAAAATGAGAAAATTACATTTTTTTAATTTTTATAAACAAAAAGAGAGTGTACGTCGCATCAATAAAAATTATACCTGTCGGAATCTTTTTATCTGAATTGGTATCGTTCGGACAAGCCTCGAAAACAGAATCGTCGCCTTCGTCCTCTGGCCCGTCATCGATCGTTCTTTCGATATACGCAGAAGAGTTGTAAAGATTCGTTTTAACGGTGCTAGGAAGGCCAGAATTCAATATCACCTTCATCAATCCACCCCCGCTATCATCGTTTGCACTTATATTATCACCTTCATTCGTTCCTCCATTTTCATTTAAATCCTTCGTTCCATTTGCCTCTTCCTTTCCCTCTTTCGTTCGATCGACCGCATTTTCGATACCATCGTCAACCTCTTTCCCGTTCGATTTCCCTATCGATTCCTTCTTTGATCGAGAGTTATCGTTTACTTCGTCGCGTTTACCGGAGGGCAACGGACTCTTGACAGTCAAATCGTCAACTACTTCGGTGGAACTATTTTCCATCGATGGAGAAACTTTCTCGAATCTTTGCAAATCACCGTTCAGCTTCTCGTCCCGGTTGATCAAACCGTTTTCCTCTGTTCTCGTCGAATCGATGACGGCAACCACCTGCGAGTCCGCCACTTTCTGACTTCGCTTCGGCGTCGATTTCGTCACCTCGCCGTTCGGCTTCTCCTTCTTTGTACTCTTGTTACACACACAGCATTTAAACATCGTCAATATTGATTATAGATTTTCGTTGTATCAGCAATAAACTCTATCGGCGCTTTTATGTTGTGAACCTCGGTGGTTTTTCAAACGATATACCACCCTCTGTACGTTCGATCTATCGTTTGTATATTCAACGGTGTTATCGTTCACTGCGGTTGTTATCGATCCGTTGCAATCGATCGATATCGAAATGCTCAGTAGAATCAAAGCGTCTCGCTCGAATTAACGGACAGCGATAAAAGATTATCGAATGTAAATATGAAATTCGTAACAGTATAAAGTTTTAATCATAAATTCGGATTAAATATCGTACTTTGGTCAACAATCACCGTAAAAACTGACAAACACCTTTTAATATGTATAACAATTATTGACTTCTTAGCACGTAAGGATTACTGACTTTGAACATATGAAAGTTAATAACGACGAGAGCTGAACTTTACTTTAGAGGACACAAAATGTTGGACCTTTTGTTTTTTAATTCATAGTTTATGATGTGTAGAATCCAAAAATGCAGAACTTAACTCTAGGAATCCAGTGATTAAAAAGTTATGAGCGTGTAAAGTTGACACTTTTAGTGCATTTGATACGTTACTGCGACGCCATATTGGCTTCTTGTCCAATGAACGGTGTCGCTAGTTGCAGGCAGACGCATGTGGGTGCCGACCACTTTAGCGGGTTTAATCAAACCGTAAATTTGATACTGACGGAGTTAGTTAGGTTTATATTTATCTTAGAGAGAAAGAGAGGGTACAGCCCATTCATTTGCTTATTGTTTCTACTGTATCAATTTTATGAGTAATTTAAATACAGCTAGCGATGGAATCCATACCCAAAAAAATTTGGTGTCCCCTAAAGTAAAGTTTAACCACGACGAGTATTAAGAACACTTTTGTAATGTTTAAAATGGAATTTTAACACTGACCCCTCACAGCCAAGGTAACCGGTATGGTACTTACTTGAATATTTTACTTTAAGCACACGTGCTGCTCGCCTTTTGCAAGCAACGGAACTAGGCAACCGAATATTTCATTCCATACGAATTTCCCACGGGAATCACGCACTATATACTCAAGTTACGTTTACTCACAGCCAACCTCCGTGCATGTACGATGTGCGTTCGTTAATGTTTAAAATTATTAATTACATGAACACTTTAGTGAAAATGGAGATACGACGATTAATTAACACCATTTGTTTTTACAGGAAACGTTAAACGGCTAACATTAACAGTCAACATATATCGAAGAAGCTATAGTTATATAACAGATATAAAATGTTTACATAATTTTTGTATAAAAACTGTTGGATTATCTCAACGACTCCTACTTCTACAATTATCACATATGAAGTAAATCAATTGTTAATCAACGTTAAATGATGTTCTTATTAAAGAAACAATATTTTTTTAATCACAAAACCTCATCTTCATCGTATTACACCCAAACAAGAAATACAACACATTTCCCCGCGAAATTTCTTCGATGGCGCGATGATCGATTGCAACAACGCCCAAGTTTATTACGTTTTTAAGATTATTCTGATAGAAACGAACTTTAAAGTATCAATTATACATGCATTTTAAACGTATACAAGGAGGCAAACAATTTTTAATCATACACGTTTATCTTGAAATATTTGATGTTATGTATCTTTTTTAATAATTTCTGATTACTGAAAATACGGAAACGCAAGGAAGCAGATCTACGCCCTTCCTACAACACACGGTACACCCTTTTAATTCTGTCACGGTTTTCATAATCGCGTAGAAAGACCGTAGTAACTTGATAGCTTATAAAAGCTAATAAGAAATACACACACAGGTAAATAACATCATAACCACATGTTGTTTCTATACATAAAAGCAACACGACATATAAGATTATGAATGGATTCAGAGAATGTTTAATCATTCATTTACTATGAATCACTTTTATCAACTCGTCTGTACACAATGTGTGATTAAGCATGTAAATCAATGCTGTCGCGAGAATGATTATTTTATACCAGCAACGGATCAAATCTTACGGAAAAAAATTGTCCGATGTGCATCAAAGTTGTACACATTTCTAACGTATTCGGTGCGTTGTTTAGGTAATGAAACGTTTACTGGACCATTTGAACTACTGCACCAGAACGCCCAAATAAAGAAGACCGTATCGCGTCACTTCTATTTATACCAATATTATTCACACTGGACAGCTGATCAAATTCGAATCAAGAAGTATACACGTTACAGTTTGAATTCAATGAAAATATCCGTAAGGGCGGAGTGTCTGCCCCGAAAAACAATCTACTTTCGAAGCAATCGGTGTAATACTCAACCGTTTCTAGTTTCGACCGGCACTCTGCGGTGCTGCCACAGGGTGGTCGAGACCCGAAATTGTTGCAAGTTTCTTGGGTAAAGAGCCACGTGCACCGCAGGACTCTCAAAATTTGACATCGTTTCTGAGCAATCTGTCCAATATCTAGTTATACCATGATTTTTCCTTCAAACTGAAGTTCTATGCCTTAGTGTCCACTTAGGAAAACTAAATACAATTGCTACTATATATTTGTTACATATATATACAGTCAGTAACTTTTATCTATTAAAAATTATTAACACTATAATGTCTTTGATACACAAGGTCAGTTTATGTTTTACAACATAAAATACAAGCAATTTTTAATACATTTTATACTACAAGTAATTTTAACACTGCTATACATATATAGTTGATTGCTTATCAAACTTAAGTGTATGTATATATAAATAACAAGTGCTGATAACAATTTTTATACTTGATATCTATTCAAGGAAAACTTGAAACAATGCTGTATTAGGAAGTATATGAACTTCAGTTACATTGATTTGGTAAATTCAATTATTATCAATTATAATATAAATGGATAATAATATCACAGCTTAAGAAATAAATAATATCGAACTTGTTGTAAACGAAAATTAATTTATACTTACGATTTTTCCACATATTTAAAACTTTTTTATAAGCACCGGGTACCATTCGAACGTCATCTTTCACCACTTCACGAATTTCGGACATTTTTTAATTTTTCAAACCGTTATACAATTATTAGAAAAAAAACACCTGAGAACCAATTTGTTTGATGTGTAACTGATGAATGATAATAACGGACTCACTTCGTCAGCTTTCACGATGGAATTTTAATCTCGCGTAAGAATCACAGGACCGTATCATATAACCAACCTAATGGTATAAAATTTCAATAATGAATTTTTTCATTCAAACCATAAAATAATTAACGCCATAATTTTAAACAGCGAACAATCAAAAACGTTAATATAGATATCATGTACTATTTTCTGTGAAAAAATAGATATTCCAGTTTTTATACCAAGAATAGAAAGGCGTCTTGATTACCCAGATATTTTATTTAATAACATTTTTGTACCTCTGATATTGAAAGATATGAAAATACATTACCCAGGTGTCAATTGTCAGGTGCAGCATATAGTATGACTCACACTTGAAACGCAGCAGGAGATACACACAAGCATAACCATGTTCATAACCAATTTAAACTTACCTTTTTTATCCTTTATGAAACAAATATAAATCTAGTTCGTTCGATAATTTGCAAAGGATGTATCTCACACGCATACACATACATATAGAATGTGTGTATATATATTTATGAATAATTATAACTTTAAAATACGGATAATGTAAACTATGGAACGTCATAAATAGCAAAATGTTTTCAGACCCGTTAATATGTACCTAGCGGCTGTGGCATGTATTAATACAGACTTATTTACACAAAATAAGTAAACTTACCTGTTAATACAAAGTTTTATTAAAGTTCAGCAATATCTACACTGTCACTTGATGACAATCGATTCAACAACACAACAAACACAACGCACAAGTGGCAAGAGTTCAATCTGACAACATTACTACACACACTGGGGCGTTTGCCGGATACCGGAAGTACTAGTTCTTGCTATTATGGAACTGCTAACCGCGCATGCGCCTACATTCAAATTTTTTACTTTTCAAATTAATTCGTTCGTCTCTTTAATAAAAAAGAATATAGATTATATAAAAAAAGATAAGAAAGTAAGAAGTTTTCTTGTGTAATAAATCAATATATCCAGAACATATTTGAAATAATGTTATTTTTGTTATTTAAATAATATAGTTTATTCTTTCGTGATATCTAATGAAAAATTGTAAATCAAATGATCTATGAAGGTTGAAAATAAATGAATTCTGTATTACGAACTTTTAAAATAAAAATCTCATATTAAAAACGATGCTTCGAATATTCCGCTATTCAGTGCTGCCATCTGATATCGCTTTAGTTCTTTACAAAATAACTGCAGTAATTGCGCTGAGTCACAGATAATTTTATCTATGTATTATATATATATATAAATGTTATTTAATTGTAATCTTTATCATGAGGCTTGAAGTTTCATAGAATCTTGCAACATTGACTTCTTTTTAGTTGTAATTTACATTTCTGTAGTTACTTGTATGCGTAAGGTATGACTTATTCTTGAACGTATATATTTTATTAAAAATCATACTACAAGCACCTTTTAGTGCAATTTTACAAAGAAATCAATAAAAACAGGGTACACAGAATATCGTATGAATAGAAACATGAGCACAAAATTCATATTTATTGAATCAATGGAAATTTTGAGTACAATACCTCAATATCATGTATTACTAGAAGGGTTCTTAATTCTTTGGCTGATTTGGTTTATTGTTAAGAAACATTACAGTAGCCGTGAAAGGATACCAACAGAAGATGAAGTAAAACGAAAACTTGTAGAATGGAAACCTGAACCTTTAATAACTAATCCACAAACGACTCATCCGTTTTTAAGTCCAAGATGTATAACATCTAGAGCCGGCAAAAGCATAGTAGTCGATGGAAAACATTGTTTGAATCTAGGTACGCACAATTATCTTGGTTTAACGGAAAGTAATGAAATAGAATCAAATGCGATAGCAGCAGTAAGAAAATATGGAGTTGGTTCTTGCGGGCCACGAGGATTTTATGGAACTGTTGATGTTCATTTAGAATTGGAAGATAGTTTAGCAACTTATACGGATACAGAAGAAGCTGTAGTATATTCCTATGGATTTAGTGCAATTTCATCTGCAATCGCAGCATATTGTAAACGTAAAGACCTTGTGTTTATAGATGAAAAAGTAAATTTTGCTATACAGAAAGGATTAGATGCAACTAAAGCTAATATTATCTACTTTAAGCATAACGATGTTAATGATCTTTCTAATTTACTAATGAAACAAGCAAAACTTGATGACCAGAATCCCAAAAAAGCATCCAAAATTAAACGTTTTTTAATAGTTGAGGGTATTTATATGAATACTGGAAACATCTGTCCATTACCAGAATTAGTTACACTCTGTAGAAAATACAAATTAAGAATATTTATTGATGAATCCATATCATTTGGAACACTTGGTAAACATGGTAAAGGCGTTACCGAACACTATGATGTTCCTAGGCACGAAATTGATATGATTATAGGTAAATAATTTTACTAATTTAGAATTATTAATAACTATTTCCATATTTAAATTTAATTGTACTTGTTTCAAACGTATTTGCGTATATTTTAGGATCTCTGGATTGGGCAATGGGATCTATCGGTGGCTTCTGCGTGGGTACATCATTTATTATTGAACATCAGCGTTTATCTGGGCTTGGATATTGTTTTTCTGCATCCCTGCCACCTCTTTTAACAACTGCAGCTATTACTTCTCTAGAAATTATGAGAAACAATCCACATATATTTAAAACGTTAAAAGACAATTGTATAGCTATAAATGATGGACTTCAGAACATTAATTGTTTAGAATGTTCTAGTTTTCCAGAGTCTCCAGTAAAACACGTTTACTTGAAAGAAAAAATGGATCGTATTACGGAAGAAAAATTACTTTCTCAGATTTCTGATTGCTGTATTGAAAATAATGTAGCAATTATAACTCCTGTATATTTGGAAGCAGAAAAAAATTTACCTAGGCCTAGTCTTAGACTTTGCGTCTCTACTCTTCTCAACAAGAACGATATTGATTTTGCTTTGAGCATATTAAAAAAATGTGCTGAAGAAGTTTTATCAGTATAAATGAAAGGACAATCAGAAACCTCTTTAAACGATATATTCTGCACGTTCATTATCTCTTATCATTTCAATGAATTTATTCATTTACTGTACAGTTGTAGGAAAATTGTTATTAACCTTGTAAACAAAACATTTTTTCCTTCGTAAATATTATTTTATCCTTCATTTAATAGCATTCCACTTTAATATTGTGATAAATATTTTATCTACACAGTAGAGTAAAAAGTATTTCTGAAGTTACTGTTTATATGTTTATGTTATGTATGTGTAAAATATTAAAAAAAGAAATACAAAGTACAAAGGAAAACATAAATAAGTTTTTTTTTAATTTTATATTTTATTAATTTAGATATTTATTTCCTCATACAATGTTATCAATGCCATAAACATAATGTAGAAAGATCTATAAATGGATTATATTTAAAATTCATGTTAATAGCTTAGCTTGAGTATAGTTGATAATAAATTATTTTATAAAATATAAAATACATATATATGTAATAATTCCCTATGAATATATTCCTTTAATACTTTTAATGTATGAGAAGTACAAAATCAATTAATATGTTAAGTGATAATATGAAATTTTGTTATTGAAATAAGTTATTACAATCAAAGATTTTTGAAACCGAGAAATTTTCGCGGGTGATGACGTGCTTCCTGTAACACATGTGAAACACATCAAGAAGGGAAACACTTCCTCCTTCTTCTACACTGCACCCGTAAACTTTGCCGAGGTAAGTAAATTCGTTGACGTAGCAGGGTAATAAATTATTTACTTAACATTGTTAATAATCATTAAAAAATATTATATACCAACTGTATACATCCATTAGGTTTAAAAAACCAAACAATTTTGTTCTTTTTTTTCATAAAATTAAGAATAAGTAGAACTCATAAGGTTAGCTTACCATGCGGTCCTATGAAATTTCTATGCTACCCTGATGTCCATTGTTAAATATAGTATTTATATTTAAATCTATTTAAAAATTATTATTGATATAACACCATTTCATATTATAAGAATAGATAATAAAATAATAGAAATAACATGATGATACAATAAAGCGTCTGATAAGCCGAGAACCACACAGAAGCTAGAAATAGCGGAACCCATCTGTGTGCGGTTTAAAAGATTATACGTTGCATGTATGCAGTCTGATTTTAACTTACACGATGAATTTTGTAACAATCACAATATAAATTCAGTACTAATAAATATTCTCCTCTTTTCAGTCCTTAAATTGTTTAACTATCCCTACACACATTTCAAGATGGGTAGGGAGGACAAGGCAACTTGGAAATCTAATTATTTCACAAAACTTGTAGTAAGTATTTTAGATGTTTATAATATTTAAATATACATCTATACGACCATATTGTTCTCACATAAATAACTATATTTTTAGCAACTTTTAGATGACTTTCCTAAATGCTTCATCGTGGGTGCTGACAATGTTGGCTCGAAACAAATGCAACAGATACGTATGTCCCTTCGTGGAAATGCGGTAGTACTGATGGGAAAGAATACAATGATGAGAAAAGCAATTCGCGGTCATATTGAACGTAATGCCGCACTTGAAAAGCTACTACCGCATATTCGTGGAAATGTTGGATTTGTTTTTACTCGCGGAGATCTAATCGAAGTGAGAGACAAACTTTTGGAAAACAAAGTCCGAGCACCGGCTAGAGCAGGTGCTATCGCACCGCTGAGCGTAATAATTCCCGCTCAAAATACCGGGCTTGGTCCTGAAAAAACTGCCTTCTTCCAAGCTTTAAGCATTCCCACTAAAATTTCCAAGGGTACTATTGAAATTATTGTAAGTATATTATTCAACGAACTAATTATGTTTCCACGTGTATTAACTATATTATCCTTATTCATTGAATACACGTTTATACATTCTATTTCAGAACGACGTGCACATTTTAAAACCAGGTGACAAAGTAGGTGCATCCGAAGCCACTCTCCTGAATATGTTAAACATATCTCCATTTTCATATGGTTTAATTGTTGAACAAGTATACGATTCTGGTACTATTTTCGCACCCGAAATCTTGGACATCAAACCAGAAGATCTTCGCGAGAAGTTCATGGCTGGAGTGGCAAATTTGGCTGCAGTTTGCTTGACTATTGGCTATCCTACAATAGCTAGCGCTCCGCACAGTATTGCTAATGGATTCAAAAATCTGTTGGCCATTGCTGCTGTTACTGACATCGAATTCCCAGAAGCTGCTACAATCAAGGAATACATCAAAGTATGTCCTTTTCAGTATAATTTAAACACATAATAAGGCCAGAATTAGAAATAGTGGAACCTATTGGCCCTTCAGGATTTTTGTGGAAAATCGTATGAATCGCTTCTCGAAGTAATAATTTACATTTAACAATAATGTTTTTTGTAGGATCCAAGCAAATTTACCGCAGCTGTTTCTGCTACCGCACCAGCTGCGGCTGCCGCAGAAGCACCAGCTGCAGAAAAGAAGGAAGAAAAGAAAGAAGAATCTGAATCAGAAGATGAGGATATGGGATTCGGTCTGTTTGATTAAAATACATATGTACATACATGTATATGTTCAAAATAACTTGATTGAAGTTATAAGTTTAATATTTTGATAAACTGGATCTTGGAAATAAAAACAATTATGATATACTATTTGTAATATTCACTGCTGTACATATAATTCCATCTATTTTCTATCATCTATTTAATCTTTATTTTTATCATTAAAATTTATTACTAACATTGTAAGTATATTAAATAAGTTAATCAGACTGTTTGAATCACGTAATTGCTAGGTAGTAATATACATGATAAATCGTTACAACGATATTTTTATTTCTTATCAGTAATCGTTTTCTTGATTACACAAGTGAGTTATCTAGAATAAGAAAAATGTTAAGGCATATTGCATAAAAAAAAGGTGGGTGTAACTGGAGGTTTTATCAAGCAAGAAGATGACTTAACAATATCTTAAACTGATGTTTATCTCCAAGTGTTTGCAGCCGCAATATTGTGGTAGGAGAGTATGATTACCTTGTATTTATATACCATTGAAAGTGACGGGATAGTTCGTAGAAGAGTGTGTAGTTAGTCTGTAAAAGCATCGGTAGTGCTGTACTTAATTCGGTCGTAAGATTTTCGTGATTTCTTGAGCGTCAATAATATCGTGCCTCGGTATAATTCGGCAAAAATCGGGTTAAGTCGATTTTGCGCGAAATTCTATTCTAATCGTTGAATTTTAAAAAAACTCCCATATTAACTAACCTCAACAAATATGGGTTTACTGTCCGAGGGAAGTCCTTTAAGCTGGGAAGAAACGAAAAATCTTGCTGACCATGTGCGAAAACACGGAGTCATTCAATTTATTAATCTATATAAAAGGCTTAGAGATAGACAGGGTGATGTACTCAAATGGGGTGACGAGGTAAGGTCCATTTTTCGATCTTTGTAACTCAAATTTTATTTGCAATATCTTTACGTGGTAAGATAAAAATATTAAGTAATTTTTTTAATTCTCGGACCCTCAGACACTTATTTTTTATGAAAAATGTAATAAGTACAACGTTATTTGTTATTAATGCAAGATTCAATTTTGAATAGACAAAACAGATAGATGTTATAAATAATCATGATTTTTGAACTATTATAAGGCTGACCTTGAATTTTCTCCAATTACAGCTTAATGTTTCTAAATACATGAGTTGACACTTTTGGATTTAACTAAGTAAATATCATAGATAAGTTAATGAATTTATACAATGTATATCAACAAATTTTATTACCATCTTTATTATTTTCATATTAATAAGTAGAATCAAACTACTTCAATACTTTTTTCATATTTACTTATTTGGCTTGAAACAGGTGGAATATATGCTTGTTAAATTTGATGATGAAGCAAAAACAGCAAAGCTTAGTTTAAGAGCCGTGGAAATATTAAAAACTCTAAATGAAAAGGAACATAACGATCCAGAGTAAGTTATCGTGATTACAAATGTCGATAAATTTGTATTTTATTATAATATCAGAATAACATGTATTAATTTTGTAGTAACATTAAATCATTATGGAGACCTGAATATGGTGCTTACATGCTAGAAGGAACGCCAGGAAAACCATACGGCGGTCTGTTAGTTCATTTTAATATCGTTGAAGCAAATATGAAGTACCGGAGACAAGAAGCTTCAAAATTACTTCGACCTAATGAAGTTTTAATGTCCTTAACTAATTTTCCAAGGTCTATGAAATACCTACTCATGATGTAGTACAGTATACGTGTTACATAACAGAAATATCATCGCTTTATCTGGTTTGTTACAGAACAGGGGCACCTGATTTCACAGATCCTCCCACAAAACCAGCACCAGATTCTGGAGCATCGAAAAGCTTATTTTTCCCAGATGAAGTTATATATCCGGGTCATCCAAGATTTAAAACATTAACAAGAAACATTAGAAAACGTCGTGGAGAGAAAGTTGCTATAAACATTCCTAGTACGTATTCTCTAACGTAGAATGATTCCATATTTGAAGCGAAACAATGCAGTCGTAGTTAACATTATACATATTTACTTACAGTTTATAAAGATAAAAATGTTCCGACTCCGTTTAAAGAGGATTTTGGTCGAACAGTTAAAGACGAATCTAGTTATGCAGCAAAAGAAGATCACGTTTACATGGATGCTATGGGTTTTGGAATGGGCTGTTGTTGTTTACAGCTTACTTTTCAAGCTTGTAACATCGAAGAAGCAAGAACATTATACGACCAATTAACGCCTTTATGCCCGATAATGGTTAGTAACACGTGAAATAATTATTATCCCCTTTTCTTAAACTCTGAAGACATGGAGTTAGCATATTCTTTCGCGCATACGTTACAGAACATTTGTTTAACATTCGACAGTTGGCTCTAACCGCCGCCAGCCCGTTCTACCGAGGGTATGTGAGCGACGTTGATTGTCGGTGGAATGTGATATCTTGTTCCGTTGACTGCAGAACACAAGAAGAACGTGGTTTAAAGCCTTTAAAGGAAAACAAATTCAGAATAAGTAAATCTAGATACGATTCCATCGATTCGTATCTCAGCGAACAAGGAGAAAAGTACAACGATGTTCCTTTAACATACGATAATGAAATTTACAAACAGCTAATGGATAATGGAATTGATAAATTACTCGCGCAACACATAGCTCATTTATTTATCAGAGATACCGTGTCCCTTTTTTCTGAAAAGGTGTACCAAAATGATTCAGAAGATACCGATCACTTCGAAGTAAATATCCTCGTTATTATCAACCCTTTCGTTGCCACGCGAATTTTTGAACTTGTACCAGTGGGCCATAAATTTTATATAAAAAATTTTATAATGGCAAAGAACTGTGAAATATATTAAAATAACGGTACAATCTTGCCAATAGCACATTTTTCTTAGACCACCATGGCCCAAATGAAAAGACAAGCGCCGGTCCCATGGGACCACCGTGGCAGCGAAAGGGTTAATTGATGTAATTTTACACGCATTGTTACATAAACTGTAACATTTCAGAACATCCAATCAACTAATTGGCAAACGATGAGATTTAAACCACCACCGCCAAATTCTTCTATAGGATGGCGCGTTGAATTTCGTCCATGCGAAGTTCAAATTACGGACTTTGAAAATGCAGCGATAGTTTGTTTCGTCGTCCTTCTTACCCGAGTAATTTTAAGCTATAAATTAAATCTTCTAATACCAATTAGTAAGGTCGATAAAAATATGGCTCGGGCTCAAAAACGGAATGCGGTTATAGCAGAGAAATTTTGGTTCCGCCGAGATATTACGTCGGATGTTAAACAGCAAGACGATGGTCAAGCGGAATATACAGAATTTACCATTAACGAAATTATTAACGGCAAGGTATTATTAATATCTCTTTTATGAATGTCTGTTACCTGATATATGAATTACAAAACATTGTTCCATTTTAGGATGGTGTTTTTCCCGGTTTAATACCGTTAGTAAATTCGTATTTAGCTAGCATGGATGTGGATGCTGACACTCACTGCACTGTACAAGCATATATGAAATTGATACAAAAAAGAGCTTCTGGAGAATTATTGACAACTGCAGCATGGTTAAGGAAAGAAGTTTTTTCACATCCGGAATATAAGTGAGTACTTTTTTAATCTACAGTGAGAGACAAAAGTAAGTAGGCACTGTTAAAAATAGAATACCTTGATTAAAATTGGACTAAATAACTTGAGGTTTTTTGAGAAGCTACAAAAATTAATTCACTAAAATATGTATTTTCATCGTTTTAAAAAATTAAAATTTGTTGAAATCGTGAAAAAAAATAGTGAATGGTAATTTTTAAACTTTTTTTATGTGAGTCTATAATGAAAATTTAAAATATGTCTTTCGTAAATTCAGATAAGTTATGTGAATGCTGAAAATTTCATCGAGATCGGTTAACGCATTTAAAAGTTATAAGTAATTAAAATTTCCAAAAATCGCGACTTTTCATCTAAGAACGTATTCTTAGATTCTACATATTTTGAACTATAGATTCTATGTATATTGAACACTATTTTGAACAGTGTCTACTTACTTTTGTCTCTCACTGTATATGTGTAAATTGTAAGGTCTACTACATTACTCCTATAATATTATATCACATTGATATAGAAATGACTCTGTCGTAACGGAACGGATCAATTACGATTTACTGAAAAAGGTGCAAAAAATTGTATCAAATGAAATATCATGTCCAGAATTGCTAGGGACGTGTATATCATCTAGAACCAATGAAACTATACCAGCAGCAGTCGCAAAAGCGGAAAACCTCCCTATATAGATAATAAACGGCAATACGCTTAAATAGATCGCAAACAATTTAGATAAGATTTTAATTTATTTTAGTACATTTCAAATGTTATTGTACATATTTACCACTTAAAGTAAAATGTGTTTGCACTTAATGATTTAATAATTTTATAAATAGTTACATTCCATAAAATAGTTTTATTTTTAATGTATTAAATTATGAAGGAACATGTATTTTGTACTTGGATCCTAAAGAAATGTATGAAAATAAACCAACTTGAGAAGTTGAACAAAGAATTTAAATAGCTTAAAAAGAAGTCTAATTTTGGTAAAATTTATTTCCTGTTGTTATTATTATATCCATTGTTTTATTTCTTTTTATTTTATGGATACTATTATTGATTTTTATATTACAATACTGTACTATTTGTAACATAGATTATAATCTTTTTCTTCAAAAGGTACACATTTTTGTATATTGTCATTATGAATGGCTCTTAAAATATAGATGTTGAAGATATTAACATTTGTATTAAAAAAAAAAAATAAGAATTAAAATATGTATATTTATAAATTCATATTTATTCCCTAGACTTATTTCTACTTTCCTAAACTTGTCCTATATGAAATATAGCTATTCCATAGTAGAGCTACCGATTGTACTATTAAAACTTGATATTGTAAAGGTATGAAGTAAAAGTTAATTAGTTGTACTGTAGGCCAGAGCTGAAAACAAATTTTGGGTTTAAAAAATGTTGTTGTTAAACCTTTTACATTTTATCATAAACGTTAGTCTGTTACCTTGTAATTATTCTTCAAAATATCAGGGTATTGGTCTCGTAATTTCATTTTCAAACTTTCTAAATCATTTTGTTGTAAAATACCAATTATTGTTAATAAAACTCCAATGAATATAGGAGCAAATATTAATTGATCACAACAGACTTTTTTTAATGCTACAACTCCTCCTTTTGAACCAATGTATTTATCTAATAATCCATACCAAGTTCGTGTTACAGGTCCCTGTCATACAATTTTAGTAAAATTTTACATATTACATATTTACAAATTTTATGTATTTCTTTCATTGTAATATTAATTAGCTGGTTCATGAATAATTGTAAGGTTAATAGGTGTAAATATTATTTAAATTTTAAAAATATTATAATATCATGCATGCTAGAAAAAATTCTTCTTTCAAATTATTTTATACTTACAGCAATAAAAAAGCCTATACCCCCAAATTGGGCGGTTCGTACAAAATCTAAATCTTTCAATTTTTTCTGTTCAACTAAATTCTGTGCAATTTGATCCCCCAGTGCCATCAACGTACCTATTTATTTAATAATACACAAACAATTATCAACGTAAGTTATAACAATAGAAAAAAAGGAAATGTTTCGTATGTTAATTACCAGCTTGTGCAGCCTGTGTAATCAGAGGATATTTTGTTACTAATTTTCGGTACATTTTAAGAACATTCCACGTGCTCGCAGAAATCGTCATTATTATTATTATTATTAACTAATTTATAAATTATCGTAATTTTCGACGTTACGTATTAAAATTACATTTATTATCTACCTCTAACGCAAAAAACTGATGTCATAAACAGATGAGTATTGAAATCGGCAAAATTTAGAACCGTTCACTGAACCTACGCGTGATATCTACGTCTTTGGTAGATCACGTTACAAAGTATTTGACATATACACAAAATAACGAAGCACGTGGTTTGTTCATTCATTCATGTGTGAACAGCTGGTAAAAATAAGATGGATCTTTTAAACAACGACGTCGGTATTTCAGATCGCAAGACACGATTAGTCATAAGATTATCTGTCTATCTTATACCTACTCTTTGGTTAGCACTGTTCAGAACTGTTGGCCATACTGACAAACTGATAGTTTGATTAGGGAAATGGTTGTAAAGCAAAGATGGCAGTGAAAGGTCGTACACGAATTTTTCTCCTATTAATTTTCGGTATTTTCCTGTTAAATTCGTGTAACGGAGCTGCGACAGACATTGAATTAGACGCAAAAGCACAGTTATTACATAGACTTGATAGTTTAAATCTTTTGTTATATACATTTTTACTGATATTAACTGTTTTGACAATATGGACATTTAAGCATCGTCGACTTAGGTTCCTCCATGAAACTGGTTTAGCTGTCATTTATGGTAAGTCGTCTGCTACAAATTACCGTTTATGTGATTTAATCATTAAATTATAGCTTATTATGCAAGTTTTTATTTTAATCTTGATGTATAGCTATAAAAAGCTTTTTGACATTTCGTTATTGTAATCATAGATATATCTATATACATGTATTAAATATATTGCTATTTAAAATTGTGTATTTTGTTATATAAAAATATAATGTAATATCTTTTTTCAGAAAGGGTATTTAACATAAATTAAAAATACATGTGCGATTTTAACTAATTTTACTGTAGTAATCTTGTTAACATCTATGTTAAACAATTATTTCTTTGTTTATAAAAATATGTTGTAAAATGTAATTCTAAGAAATGTATTGGTATCTTATTTATTCTAATAAATTTGATTTGAATTCTTATATAAACATGTGTACAGGAAAATTCATAGAAAATAATATATGATGAAATGTTCATAAATAGTAATGTAATTTTAAATGTCAAATAAATAGCAGTATTTGCATACTTATTAATTTTGAATATATTATAAAAGAAGCTTTTTTTTGTAAATGAAAGTGTATCGTGTTAACTTTTTAATGGCTCTTTAAACAGTTTGATATTGTTTATTATAAATACTTATATATGTATATATGGACATTCCCTAGGTTTAATTATAGGAGCTATAATTCGTTATGGCTTTACAACAAGTAGTACCATTCTCCACATGCCTGTTGTACCAGACAACAGTAGTAAATACAATCAATCAGTTCCTCCAGATACGTTATGGTTACGTTTTCCAGAAGATAAAGGAGGTGGCGTTATTAAGAATAAAACATTTGCTTATTCATTCAGAGGAGAAATTTATAAGCAGGATAATGAAATTGATTTGAAGGTATAATATTTTAATAAAATGATTTAAAATAATATTTTGTATCATTCAGATTATTAGCTGTTTTAAAATGTAATTAAATTTTATAGGCTACTTTTGATCCCGAGATATTTTTTAATATCATTTTACCACCAATAATTTTTCATGCTGGCTATAGTTTAAAACGTGTAAGTAATATTATTATTTTACTTATATTTTGTTTTATTTAGAAACAATGTACAGATTAATTAACTTTGTAATTTTCTTTTGTTTCAGAAATACTTCTTTAGAAATTTAGGAGCAATTCTTATGTATGCTTTAATCGGAACATCTATATCAGCATTTGTTATTGGGTACATTGTTTTTCTTATAGCAAACATGAATGACTAAGTAGTCATGTATTGTCTTATCATAATAACAACGTATATTTACATCTGTTAGAGCTTTTGTATTGAGCATTTCTTCTGATAATTGTGTCCATAGGTCATTTAGATTGAGTATATCTGTTGTGTTTTTTTTTTTTTTTTTTTCATAGGCTGTAGATATAAGAAACAATTCTTTGCAAGACAATGGGATATTTTTTTGATGTGTATTTTTCTCAGGTGTACATCTTTTTTTTCTTTTTACAGAGCTTTGATGTATGCCTTTGTACAATTAATACCGCATCTTTCTGCTTCATTTACATTTTTGGATACTTTATATTTTGGTGCATTAATATCTCCTACGGATCCACTGACAATAATTTCGATTTTTAATGATTTACACGTAGACGTGAACTTATATGCTTTAGTATTTGGAGAAAGTGTGTTAAATGATGCAGTTGCAATTGTACTTAGTGGGTATGTACATAAAAATACAAAAATATTTTTCACGATCACTTTTATTTAAACACTTGTTTAAATGCTACTATACATTTCCTTTTCAGTGCTATACAGAATTATGGAGAACGTTATCAATCAGGTTCAGGTGGTTTTGAAACTGTAGCATTTTTCCAAGCATTTGGCGATTTTGTTGGAATATTTAGTTTATCTTTATTTATCGGTGCTACAATGGGATGTATCACCGCATTATTAACTAAGTTCACTAGGGTCAGAGATTTTCCTCTTCTAGAATCAGCATTATTTGTTTTAATGTCTTACAGTACATTCTTAATTGCTGAAGCATCCGATCTGACAGGTGAATATACGTTAAACGAAAATACTATTTCCATCATAATGTATAATATTCTTTTTAATGACTAATATTGTAAACAATTATTTGCATACAGGTGTAGTTGCTGTGTTGTTTTGTGGAATTTGTCAAGCACATTATACGTACAATAACTTAAGTCCAGATTCTCGTCAACGAACGAAACAGCTGTTCGAACTTTTGAACTTTTTAGCTGAAAATTTTATATTCAGTTATATTGGTGTTTCAATGTTTACTTTCCCAAAGCATCATTTTGATCCAGGATTCATTTTTGCTGGATTTGTATCCTTAATTCATGGTACTCTATTCTTTTAACCATTGACATACAGTCCTTAACGATTTTATTATAGCTCTGTGCGTTATTGGGTCGCGCAGCTAATGTATATCCGTTATCTTTTATATTAAATTTGGCGCGAAAACCGAAGATATCGTTAAATTATCAGCACATGTTATTTTTCGCTGGCTTACGAGGAGCTATGAGTTTCGCTTTGGCTATCAGAAATACTGTGTCCGATGCACGACAAGCTATGTTAACCACGACAAGTTTAATTGTTATTTTAACAGTTATCTTTCAAGGTGGAGCAACGACACAGTTTTTAAGTTGGTTTAATATACCGTAAGTTCAATTTGATCTCGTTCTAAATGTTTCTGTAAATTTCGTTCTTTAAATCAATTGTTTCATTACAGAGTTGGCGTTGACGAGGAAATAGAAGGATTATCGCATAATGGAATGCGTAGTGTAAGTATCTATAATTGTATTTGACATTATCGTAATGTAGAATTATTAGCACCAATTGTACAAAAGTAATATGAAATTGTATTTGCACTAACACATTATGTGTGCTAGATTCAGTTTTTACGAGTTGTTAGTATGAAAGAAACTAAAGTCATGTTTAGTAACAGCTTTAAAAAAAAAAACATGTAAATAATCATTAAAATGTAGTCTAGTTTGTTTATTGCTAATATTTATTTCAAAAGAATGCAATTTTTATATGTATGTTTGGATTCTTTTTAAGGCTATATACTGCCCACGAATTTAAGTAGAATTATTTAAATACAATACAAGAAATGCAAGAACTAACAAAACACTATTGAAATACTTATTAAATATTAAAAAATAATTGCGCTGCTGATATTTATTTATTTTGTATATACACATATTTTTTTACAGCGCCTCAAAAGTTGTCAAAAGCAAAGTTTTAATAAGATTTTCTTCTAAAAATATGTATATCTATAAATTTAAATTCTAATACCAGAAAGCATCTCTGTATATTCAAACATTTAATTAGAAGTTTGCAATATCGATAAATAATATCGAAATTGTTTCCTGAAACGTTAGTTGTAGTTGTTATATAGTATATAAAATTATTTAATGTATGTTAAGTGATGTAAATCATAGAAGCTAATGCTATTTTTATAGAACAATTTAAAAGTGAAGATGTTACGCATGAATGCTTTGATTCAAATTATTCTCATATTGCTACACGTTTTAGTCTCGATATCGAAATATCATTCCCTGAATTACTGTAATGTGCACTTTTATCGTGTATTATAATTGAAAAGTTTTGTAACTTCTCTGCTTCACAATCTGTGCAAGAGCATTACACTTATAAATGTTACTTCTTCTAGTTACACTTAAGTAATATTGGGTTATTCACGCACAAAAGTTACTAAAATAATAAATAGCTTGCACTGAAATTTAACTGTCTGAAAATTCCAGCATGTCTAATTACATTGTAATGAAGTTGGGAAAAATGCTTTGTTAATCTTAAACAATTGCTCTTTAATAATTGATTTCATAAAAAAATACAAAATTGGAATTTAACGTACTAATGTTAATAGTCTGGTGGCGAAGGTGGCTTTGGAGATCTGGACATGCATAGGGAAAGAAGTCCTCCGGTATGTTGTCATATTAATTCAAGAATTGAATTATACTATTTATGTGGTGATAAACAGTTCATCTATTCATATATATATATATATATTTTATGCACAAATATATACATATATATACATACAAATTTCTATGTTTATTACATTAGGATTAATTTAGTCCTATAGTGTTTTTTTAGCACATGTTCAATTCTTTCTTGTATAACTATACAGTGTACAAATAATTAGTTGTAAATACTGTAAGCAGTATCATATGAGTTGCTTTCTGTCATTAGTACAGATACATAGTATAATGATATTTAAAATAGAGGTGTTAAAAATCATCTTATTAAAATGTTTGCAATGACCACTAATTGTTGCATTATGTCAGTTAAACATATTAAATTTAAAGTAATATATAATGTATTATTTACTTTTAAAGGGTTAAAAAGCGCTACTTAATTACTTTTAATCACTTGTTTAATTATAAATTCAACATTATAAAAATTGAAACAATAATACTGTTAATGATTTCGTGGATGCTTTTATTTAATAATTGCAAATTAAAAATCCGGTTTTGATTTAACTATACATGTATGTTTAAAATGTATTATTTATAAATTAATGTTGCTAAAATGATTGGCTTTATATTTAAAATTTTGATTTTCTTTTCTTTGAACAGTCAATCAGCTAATTGCATGCGCTTAAATATTTCTTTTTGTATCATTTTTGTTATCCATTCTGTATGTTAATGATTCGTAGTGTATAAAATGTTTATATACACTTATATATATACATTTATATTCATTAACAAAACATACACAAACATAATTAACAAGATACACAAATATAATGATAAACAACCAAGCATGTATCTTAATACTTAATAATATTGTTAAATTTGTTGTACAAATTACTTAGTAATTTTAAGAAATTAATCAGAATGTAACTTTTTAAATATTTACAATACACATGTTTCCATACTTAAATAAATTTGAAAAGAAACGTCATAATCATACAGGATGGATAACTAAAATATCCTTCACATTTCACAGTATAATTCTATGCAGGATGGATCAGTACCAGGCGGTGGAATAAAACCTAATGAAAAAGCATTACTTGCCAGAATCTGGGGTGATTTTGATACTCGCTACATGAAACCATTTTTGACCCACTCCAGGCCTACATTGTTGGAAACATTACCAGTTTGTTGTGGTCCTTTAGCTAGGATTCTTACAACGACACAGCAAATGACACAGGTATAAAAACATCATTTTTCAAAGGAGAATATATTTTAATTTATTGCATAAAATTATATTCTATACTAAGTTTGTTTTTCTGTCTCAGGATGAAGCAGTTAGAAAAGCAGATTCAGATTCAGATTTTTGTCTCGAAGATCGTGAACTAGAGCGACGAAGGACTAGTGTTCAACCGGTGAGTTTTCATCAACCTAATCTCAATTACACTATTAATCCGTGCTATCAACCTAACAGCACAGACGCCACTAATCCTGATGAACCTTACGTAATTCTTAATTTACACAGAAGGTAGAAGTAACGAATTTAAATTCATAACATTTAAATTAAACTTATATGAAAGTATTCCTTACATTGGTATGAATGAATTAATCATTTATACCTAATTTTTCTTGTAATTATATTTCAAACACTTTCCAAATTATCTCTTCGTTATAACATTTACACATAAACATTCTTAAAAAACATTTGTACAACATAGACTTTCCATTTTATATGAAAGTAATAGTTATAACATGTAACGTGTAACATGTTTTTACATAATATGTTGACCTTTCTATTAACATCTACCATTTCTATTAACATAATACCATTACGCAAATGTTACTTAACAGCTATCCTTTCCTAACTTAAATAATTGCTTATATTAAATTCTTTCATATGAAATGTATAAAATATGCATGAAAAACTTCTGTTTCTTCGCTGTAGAAATACAGTGATACACATTTAAATAATCAAATAACATATGTTTTATTTTCACTTTTAATATTATATTTATTTATGAAATATATTTATGTACAGTATCTGTACATTTTTAAATGTTTTAATTAGTATTCAAATATTGTTTTATTAATGTAGAAAGACTATATTGTATTACTGTGTATTATTGTCATATAGGTTTGACGGGTTATTAACAATGCTAACAGTGTTTCTGCATTGATAAAGATTCATTTAGTTATATAAAATATACTGAAGTGGAGACGCCATCGTATAGGCATGAATGTACATATAGTCTTCTTACTGAAAGTTATTTTACAGATGCAATAAATGTATGCAATTATTCTAGTCATTAATTACCTGTAATAAACATATGAAGAATTAATGAATTAGAATTTATTCAAAATCAATGTGTGTGTAATACTGGAGTTTGACACTACCTTATCCATGTAACATCAATTAAATATTGGAAGAATTATTTTATTTCTTATCTTTGCATATGATTTTTCTTCATTCGAAAATTATGTTTAATGCCTAGTGCTAGAACCTATTTTTAAATGTTAAAAGAGAAATATATATATATTTATTTGTTTTTACTTAATTTATACATGAAAAGCTTGTATTTTTGTCTGATCTCTTTTTTGTTAGCTATTTAAACAGTTTGTTTAGTCTCCATTTGATCGCGCTCTTACGATTTTTTTAGAGAAAAAGAAATGATGATGATGATGATGAAGACCTAAGAATCATTGGAATGGATGGATTTATTCCATTAAGAACATTGTAACGAGACAGAAGACGTTCAAAATAATATTTTGAGAAGATTATTTTTAAACGGTTTATAATAAATATTTGGGATAGAAGTGACAAAAATAATTATTTTGTATTTTTTAAAACTTTTTAATAGCACCTTTACTTGTGTTACTTTTTTTCTTTGCCATTAGTATTAAACAAGGTTTAATTTTGTATATTTATTTTAATATAAATGATCCTGAACTGTTATGTTACTGTCGTGTTAGTTGTTTGTTTGTTTCTCTATTTTTTTTTTTAAATTCATTTAATGTTGTTGTTTTTGTTGTATTTGAAAATTGTTGTTAACAGCTATAATATAATACATTTCATTATAAACACAAATTTAAAAAGTTAAGAAATGTATTATATACACTTATTGTGAGGCTTTTTAAAATACTAATGCAAGTAAAAAACAAGATGTAGTACAAAGTCTGACTAAAAGTTTGTACTAAACGTCTGCATAGACTTATTACATTTTTTAAACGTATTGTAATGAAACATTAAACATAATTTTCAGTATTCAGTCTCAAATCCTAGTTTTTTTCTTATTGTACTTCAGTGACAACAAATTATCAAAGATATTGAAAGTTTTATCACAGAAACATTACACTTTGTAATTTTCACTTCTTTTTTCTCCCAGTTATAGTTCATCTATGTATCGTTGTATTGATAAACGATTAGATTTACATCTGTCATTTAATATAATATTATTGCATGTAGCCTGAGTTAACAAAGTATTTGCTAGACATTAATTTTCACATAAAAAATGCTGTTTAATAGGTGCTGCCTGCACATTACTTATGCTATTAGTAACAAATAATTCCTATATTTTCCTTATATCATTTACAAATATTTCTAATTACATAGCTTTACATGTTTTTTTTTTCATTACAGTTAATCATTAATGTATACTTTACAGAATACTTAAAATAATTAAATAATTGCACTTATTTTTGATACTCTGTATTTAAATAAAAATAAGGTATTTATGTATTTTATAATTCTATGTAATTTGTATTTGAGTAACAATAGTACTATTAATATTTTCCTTCAAAGGGTATAGCCGGATAAGGGGGTCAAAAGTGCCTTTAGACCAAATTGATCAATGAACATATCAATTAATAGACCGTACAAAGAAAATCATTTGTGCCAAGCATGAAGCCGTTACCCTTACTTGAAAAGTACAGGGCGAAATGCAATTTACAGTTTATGCTTTATTTCTTGTGATGTACTGTATGAACAATTTTGAAAAAAATCAGGGGTATTCTGCTCCATGACCTACGTGGAGGTAATTTTTTCAGAATTTTTCATTACAAAATGGATTTTTAAAAAATTCGGAAATTTTAAAAATATTTTTTTTAAATAGAAATTATCAAATGACCACGTTTATATGTTTACAGTTTTAATAGCTTGTTACAATTATTAATATATAATTTTTTCAGACTTTTTATAGAGGTGTATCACATACAAAAAAATTATAAAGCGATATTTCCTAACTTTTCGTTCGCAGAGGAGAAACATATTCGGATAATTAATATTTTTATTTCATCAAATGGTCATCATATGCAGGTTCAGAATAGTTTTACATATATCAAATGATACAAAACTTAAACTTAATGTATAAAATTTAAAACGTTGCGAATTCGTATGGATATTGACTGTTGATTGTGGAATGATTTTATGAATAATTGTAATTCTGTATTATGTTCCGACCGTTCAACGGAACACAGGCGCGAGGATTTCAAAAGGGAGTTTATGACAGTTCTTCGACGAAAAGCTATTTTTAAGTCAAGATGTTTTCGTAGTCCAGGCAATGGTCTTTTACTTTTTTTGTACAATAGAGTCAGAATTTAATTTTCGGTTCGTCCTCAATAGTTTCATGTCATAAACTGAGTTTTTCCGATGGGTTTGGCAATCGACAATCGTAATGGTACCCGAACCTTCGAGGGTCAACCTGGATGGTATACTTCCGGCGTTGCCGAACTTTCGAGGTGAACACGTACACACTGTGTTCGCTTCACCCCCTCTAGACGAATATTCAAGCCGAATATTTGATAATAAAGATCTAACATATATTTTTTAGGTCCAGATACAGAGAATTCGAAGATCTACTGGGAAAAGTCAAAACTTACACACGGAATTTGACATACATATGTTAAGATTTGAATGTGAATTACGTTTGGTTATGAATTATCAAATTCCGGGTGTAAGTTTCGACTTTTCTCAGTAGATCTTCAAATTCTCTGTATCTGGACCTAAAAAATATTATATGTTAGATCTTTATTATCAAATATTCGGCCTGAATATTCGTCTAAAGGGGGTGGGGCGAACACAGTGTGTACGCGAGCACCTCGAAAGTTCGGCAACGCCGGAAGTTTTCCATCCAGGTTGACCTTTGAAGGTTCGGGTACCGTTAGGATTGTCAATTGCTAAATCCTTCGGAGAAACTCAGTTTATGACATGAACGGACTTATTGAGGACGAACCGAAAATTAAATTCTGACTCTATTGTACAAAAAAAGTAAAAGACCATTGCCTGGACTACGAAAACATCTTGACTTAAAAATAGTTTTTCGTCGAAGAACTGTCATAAACTCCCTTTAGAAATCCTCCCGCCTGTATTGTATTTTTTATACAGTACAATAAAAGATTCGCCTTGTAACTACCCTTCAAGTAAGGCTAGCAGCTTTATGCTTGGCACAAATGATTTTCTTTGTACGATCTATTAATTGATATGTTCATTGCTCAATTTGGTCTAAAGGCACTTTAATCCCCTTATCCGGCTATACCCTTTTGATATACCATGTAATTGTGCAATCAGCAAGTAATTTCTTCTGATAGTAATAAATCTTTTACAGATACATTCACATTCTAATGATAGATCTTTAATCTTGTACAGATTATTTTTTGTTGTAACATTATTTATGTTATATTTAATGTTACTTTGTAATTTGGTTTATGTTGCTTATTTGTATTTGGTTTCTTCACAGACGCATATTGGGAGCTCTCCAAACAGAATGCATTTGTAAAATCGATTATAATATATTTTAAGTTGTATACATTATTGAAGATCTGGCTACAATCATATTTTAATATTAAGTAATTATTTCTTTACCGTTTATCATATACCATTTAACATTAATGTCATGTTATACGAATCCTAAATCAGTATGTTTAATTTTTAAGAATTTTGTTATTAGACAAACATTTTATTTTCTAAAATGGTATAAAACATATGTGTATGCTTTTTAATACATTGTAATCATTACCTCAAGTAATATTCAGTGAAAAAATTATAACATTGCTATGTGTGAATGCGATATTTGTGTCAAATGTTACATATTACTGTTGTATTATAATTTCTATAAATGTTGATTATATTTTTTTAATGTTTGTTTTCTTTTGCAAATGTTGTTTAATATTTTGGACAAGAGACATTATAAAAAAATTGGATGTAAGTATCATTACACACACAAAAAACAAAAAACTTGAGTTTTATGATTCTTGTAACCGTAATACATACTTGTAATAAATTGAAATTGTAATAATAACAACATTATTCTATTCCGATTTTACATTATACTATGTAGAAGAATAGGAACTATTGAAATGCTTCTTCTAACATGGTAATCTATTTATTTTAATGATAGTACTTCTATAACAGAAAGATATTTGTTTAATACTGTGTACGTTATATCCAATTTTAAACAATGTTTCAATCAGGAACTTTCACATATACAAAACTAATGTCCAAAAAAATAATATTTGGTATGTCATGAAATAATGTATAAGAATCTGAAGGTGGATTCTTGATGTATTTAATACTTTGTGGGGCAGCTGGGAACTGTGATGGGAGAAGTTAGTCCGGGACCACTACCATTGCACACACGCGTCGCCTTGCCAGGTTTGGTCGGCAGACATTTATAAAGACTAATTGACATTGGTAAATAAACTTATTACTTTTTAAATGTGTAATATTCTATGTGCAACTAATAAATGTATTTATTTGAAAAGCTTACTGCCTGTGCAAACTATTATATCTAGTAGGTAATATTATCCATTAGAAATCAAATTTGAAAGGATATTTCTAATCATAAATTCTTTCATTTAATCATTTATATAAATTGATTTTTAGATGTGTTTAATATTAAAATTAAAACGAATAAACATGTTTTTGTAGTCACTGTAGCTGCATTATTATCCCTTGATTGTGAATATGAAATTAAATAATTGCTAAAATTTGTAAGTAATCAACATGTATGTACATGTATGTTTATTATTTAACAACATATATTACATTTATTGGTTGTACTCCATTTAATAACATTCATTATACAAAAAACGCTTATTGGTAAATGTTAAATATAATTTTTAAGCATATAATTTATATATATATATATACATATATAATTTACTACTCAATGAAGGTCCTGGTTTAGCATGAATAAAATATGGTAATCTGACATCAAGCTACATTTGGTACACACTGTACATTCGAATATAATAATTCACAAGAACAGTAAAATCTAATAAAAGTAAAGTAACAGCTTATTACATGTCCTCAGAAACATTATATTTGTACACAAGATGTACTTACTTGTACCATCATTGAAAACAATAAATTGGTGTCCTTTGTTTTTAATATATTTGGATGTATTTGTAACAGTTTGAAACAAAATCGTTAATACAATTGATCATAGAACTTAATTTGTTCAGTGAATTGATTTTGCTGATGTATACAATCATATTTACATTCAAGGTGCAGGACACTTTATGTACCATTTATAAAAACATACGTTTTATACTATAATTTGTAATCATGTGTGGATTCTAAGAATCAAAGAACAATAAATTACAATAAAAATTAAACTTATCAGGGCAAAATAATTTAATTGAAAAATTTAAATACGCCTCAATCAAGATTAGTGCCAAAGTTTACTTAAAACATTACAAAAATGTAACATGAAAGTTGCTGTAAAAGAAGGTTTAACATGTTTTAAATGTATGATATTGTTTGAAAGAAACATAAAAAATGCATATTATAAGCTGTGTCAGTATAAGAATTAAATAAAATGACTCATTAAATATTGTTTTTAATTTAAATTATAAGTATATTCAGATATGATTTATTACCAACAAGATTTAAAACATTTGATATATTTGTGTAAAACAAGAAAGTGATGGATAAAAACTACATGGATTTTTTACTTTAAATGTTGGCTGTGAACATTTAACAAAAGTATTTGAATATATAGTTTACATTTTAAGAATGGATCATACTACCTGAACTGTAATATCGCATAAAAAGCAAAATGTTAGCACATAGTAATTGAAAGTCAGTTTTATGTATTTATGAATTGAAAAGTATGTAATAATTATTATTGCAATGTATACATACATAGAATAATGATGTGATATTATGTACTACACTTTACTGTGTTTAATAAAATATTTGTAAAAATACATCCAAAACAAATTAAATTTACTTAATAAATCTATGTAATTATTTGATCTTTTATTATTTTTCTCATGTCATCAGTAACACAGAACATTGGACCATGGCCAGGTACAATAAAATCTGCAATGTTTATTATATAAGATCTCATAAGTGATTGGGTTTTTTGTAATTCTACAGTTCCTAATTCTTTCCAGATCGATGGATCTGATATGTCTTCTTCTTTTTCAAATAAATCTCCTATAAAACATATTAACATATATAATCAATTTAAAATACTTAACACGTAATATATGAATGTGAAAAACCTGTTATAGCAAAACAGATTGGTTTTGCATGTTTTTTAGTTTCAACTAGAACTGTAACATCATCTGATGTATGGCCAGGAGTTGTTACAACTTTAACTTCAGGACAAATTTTATATTCTTCTGTATTTGAAATAATTATAATTTTTATATATCAAGTAAATCAATTATGAACTTAAATATATTTCAGGTGTATCACCGTTTTGTAAGTTTTTATCTAAAAATATTTCTCCACTGTGAACACAAGTACCAATAATATGTTCTGCATTTAGAAAAAGATTATTGTTCCCTATGTGATCCGCATGACTATGAGTACAGACAACATAATCAATTTGATCAGGTTTAATATCATGCCGAATAAGTGCTAAAATAAAATTTTCATTCACGTCTCTTATAAAAAAAAAGAGTTACAATTGTTAATAAGAATATACCTTGTAATATTTTATCCCTATCCCAAGCTGTCATAGTATCAACAATAATATTTTTTGATGCTTTTATTAACGTACAGGAACAATTTGCTTTCATTATATTGTTTTCAAGTTTTTCAGAATATCCATTAAATAATACAATAACTTCACACATTTTTAAAAATAAAAATTAAAAGATATATGTTCATAAATAACTTATAATATTGTTTATTTTTACTTTTATATTATCAGTTGTAATCATTTAAATAGGTATTTAATTCACTGAAGCTTTTGTACATATGAGGTTATTTTGCCAATAAATGCTGAAAGAAAATAATTTATTATTCGTTCAACGAGAGATCATACCTGTTTCGCGCAGCTCAAAGGACTCGTCATAAGATAGGTATAATCTCATGTTGAATGAATAATAAGTTATACATATGTTACATATATTGCAGTCACCAGAGTCCATAACTAAGCCGCACAGTGGCGCGCAGGTTGGAAGCAGTTAGAAGATGGTGGGGAAACTTACCGAGCCTCGAAACTACTACTCCGTTGATCGCTTCCCAATTTGTTAACCGCGAGTTTAATATACGGGGTGAAACAATAGTATGGTTGAATAGGGAGAATACAAAATGATACACGTGAGTAAAAAACCGTGCGCGTCTGCACACGTTCAGTATGTGTTTAATATTTATAAAAAAATATCCATATATACATTGATGCGCTATTTACATATTTACAAGAAAATGTACTATTTACAAAATATTTACACATAAAATACGCTATTTATATGATATTTACTATTTACAAAATATTTACACACAAAAAAGGATATTTAAAAACCGATATCACTGTCGGAGTCATCGGATTGGTCCACCCACTCACCACTTGCGTCCAGAATATTATCAGTAATGTGGTCGAGTTGGCAGTACCTGTTTTCCTCCTCCGTCGTCCGGCGAATAAAATTCTGCCACGACTCGGCGGACACATTTTCCACGGCTTCTAATACCAGTGTCTGGATATCACATGTTGTGCTTCGCGCCCACACATACTCTTTGATTTTTGCCCATGCTAACTCGATGGGGTTCAGCTCAGAGTGGTAAGGGGGAAGGCGTACCACAGTATGTCCATGCAGCCTGGCGTATTCGTCGATTACATATTCATATCGCCTTAGCTTGCGCGATATTTGTACCAGCTGCGCTTTGACATACCATGGTTCTACCTTTTCCCCCTTAGCAATCAGCCACCTGATAATATCGTTTTTCTTCCAGCTCATGGTGGGATATTTCTCTAATTTCATACTATGACACGGAGCATTGTCTATAACGATAACTGCCCCATCTCGTAACATGGGCAAAACGCTGCGAAACCAGTTGAAAAATATGTCGCCATTTATTTCGTTGTAGTAGTCGGCAGAATTTTTCTTCGCCTCCAAACAGAGGAGGGCCCCAGGTACAAACCCATCCGATGACCCGACGTGGCCTATTGTCAGTCGTTCTCCTTTGTTGGCGGGCTCCGGCTTGCCAATGGACAGGCCCCTTTGTTCCGCGTTTGCAGGGCAGGTAACAGAAGTCTCAATGCATGCTTCATCTAAGAAATACATCGGGCGCCCTTCGGAACGATATTTTTGTACTTGCTGAATGTAGCGCTGCCTCCAGACGACAATATGATTTTTGTCGATCAGCGCACTGTTACACGCGCGAATGATACATTTAAATTCAATTCGCTTCAGCAACCGGTATAGCGACGATTCGTTAAAACTGGGAAGTTCAGGATCTTGATTCACCGCTTCCAAAACGTTGTTCACGTTTGGAATTTCGCGCCTGAACCAAAATTCGTACACCTTCCCCCTTATGGCCAGTATCGCCTCCTCGGATGTCTTCTCCAAAATATTTATGCGGAGTCTCTTCTTATTTGGAGACTTAACGGTTCCTGTTGACTTATACTCGGACACAGTCTTAGAAATTATCAACTGCCCGATTCCAGTCCGTTTGGATAGCAACTCTATGAGTTGTCTGTAACTCATTTCCGGATGCTCCGCCTTGAGGCTTTTGTATAGATTCACGATCATCATTTTTTGAGAAGATCCAACGGGCTACAAAAAGAACAATGTATGATTTCAAATATACATATTTTATGTAAAAAAAAAAGAAATGTTTCGAAAATTAAAAAAACTTATTAAAATTATATATCTTCATAACGCGAGCTTACCTTTCCCGATGAATTTCTCTTTGTTGGAGACACGCTAGACGGTCCAGGAACTCCTTCCTCCATTTCACACACTGTTTAAACGAAAAATAAATACAATAAAATAAAATATATAAAATATAAAATAAGTACAATAAAATAAAAGATAAAAAAGATAAAAGAAATACTTACAAAAAATAATTCAATACAAAAAGAAATACACTACGCAAAAGAACACTACTCTGACAAAATATCCTCTGCCTACCCGTTACACACTCCAAATGATGCACGTTCGCGTAGATGCACCGCGTGGAGGCGCCTCAGCGACGCTGTACGCAAGCGCATGGGAGTGGGAGTATCGCCAATCAGAGCGCAGATGCGCACAAAAGAGCGAAAACTGGTCTTTTCGTAGTTATGGACTTTGGTGAGGGCAAGTATATGTATGAATTGAAAAGTTAGTAATAGTGTAGTATTTAAAATGAAATTGGTAAATATTTGATCTAATACTACTATTACAATGAATATGTTTTTTTATTATTAGTTATGATTTATAGTAATCATACCTTATTAATGTTTATTGTACTTGTAGTATTGTTTATCGAGTGAACCAACAAAGCCATGTTTGGTTTTAAGTTTCAAAGGGATAACTTTAATGTTAGATTGTGGTTTGAACATGCAATCCATATTGCATTTCATGCCAATGCCTATGGTTCCTAGTGCTAAATTTAATTCATTGCCATCCTGGCTTCCCCGTGACAATCATCAAGATTGGCAAATAGAAGGGGTTCGTATATTTACATCCTATAATGAAAATGTAAACAAGTTGAATTGATTTGAAACATTTACTTTTCAGGAATTAAAAGAATGTTGCAATAGAGTATTCGTGGATTCTACCCCTGAATTCTCTCCGCCTTTGGAGAAAATAGTAGATTTTTCTGAAATTGATGCTATTTTGATATCAAATTATACTTGCATGTTGGCGCTACCATTTATAACACAAGATACTGGTTTCAAAGGTATCATTTATGCGACAGAGCCAACGTTACAAATTGGACGATTTTTTATGGAAGAATTAGTAGAGTATATTGAACAAACTCCTAAAGCAACATTGGCTAAACATTGGAAAGAGATGTTACACATGTTACCTTCTCCATTAGCTGATGCTCTTAAACCTAAATCTTGGAAACACATATATTCTATGTCTGCAGTCAATACAGCTTTATCATACATCCAAACAGTTGGATATGATCAAAAGCTAGTAAGTTAATACAATATCTTTTTGAAATATTTTTATGTACATTTTCTTTACTTCTATAGGACATATACGGCGCATTAACAGTTACTCCTATAAGTTCTGGATATTGTTTGGGTAGTAGTAACTGGTTAATTTCATGCGACCATGAGAAGGTTGCATTTGTCAGTGGATCTTCTACATTGACAACTCATCCACGTCCCATGGAACAAGCTACATTAAAACACGCTAATATGTTAATACTAACAGGTTTGACTCAAACACCTACTGCAAACCCAGACACTATGCTTGGAGAACTTTGTATGACTGTGGGTAAGTAAAAATTATATTATTTTAGTTATTTAATGATATTAAAGTCAAATATCATAACATGTTTATATTGAAATTAAATTTTATAGCAATGACGCTTAGAACTGGTGGATGCGTTTTAATACCATGTTATCCATCTGGGGTTGTATATGATTTATTTGAATGTCTCAGTACTCATTTAGATAAATCAGGTTTTTCACAAGTTCCATTATTCTTTATATCTCCGGTAGCTGAAACTTCTTTAGCATACTCGAACATTTTAGCTGAATGGTATGTTTTAAAGTATTAAACAAATATTAATTGTATTTAAATTATTTAATTTAATTTCATTTCAGGCTGTCAACAAACAAACAAAATAAAGTTTATCTTCCAGAGGAACCATTCCCTCATGCTTTTCTTGTTAAAAATGCTAGATTAAAACATTTCACATCTACTTATGCCGAAGGTTTCAGTTCTGATTACAGACAACCCTGTGTTGTTTTTTGTGGTCACCCTAGTCTTAGATTTGGTGACGCTGTTCATTTTGTTCAATTGTGGGGTAGTAGTCCGCAGCATACTATAATTTTTACAGGTATTTATCAAATATGTTAAATATAATATGTATATAGATACTGTTCATGGAATACTTCATTATTATTTCAGAACCAGATTTCCCATATTTGGATGCACTAGCACCATTTCAACCATTAGCTATGAAAGCGGTACATTGTCCAATTGACACCTCTCTTAATTTCACCCAAGCTAATAAATTAATTAGAGATTTAAAACCAGAACATTTAGTCATACCTGAATGTTATACACAACCACCGATGACAGCACCACATAGAACAGATCTTGTTATAGAACCAGTAGGAGTAAGTTCCTCTCACCGGTATTAAGACACCAAAGTGTTTCAACGAAACATTATCGATTGCTTATTCTTTTAACTATTTTGTGTTTTAGGAAAAACCTTTAATCACTTTCAAACGAGGCGAAGTTATAAAGCTGCCTCTAAAAAGAAAAAAAGGACGAGTATTTATTGAACCAGAATTAGCTGGGAATATAATTCCAAATGAAATTCGACCTGGTCTGAGTCTTGCGTCTGTTACCGGGGAATTGGAAGTTAAGGATAATGTATATACGATAAAGGTACGTATTCGACGTACATATATTGAGTAAAATATATTTGATTTATCGATAATGTTATTTTCAGAACATCGAAGATAGACCTAGTGGAAAACGTAAAGCATCATCCAGTTCACCTGCACCTATTAAGGAAGAGGTTCTTAAAGAAAGGAAACACGAATATGGTAATTTAGATCCTCAAGAATTACTTCAAAAACTTAATCAAGAGGGAATTCAAGGAGCCAAGTTGCAACACAGTCCAACTGCTACGAGCATTCATTTAGTAAGAGAGATATATGTTAAGTAGTTTCTTTTCTTAAATAAAAAATTTATTTCTAAAATATGATTATTAATACTTGCAGCAAGACGAAGATACTTTAATTCAAATAGGGGACAACTCGACGCATATCTTTTGCAATGGTGATCAAAAGATTAGGAGGCAATTAAGGAATATCATAATGCAGTGCCTTAAAAGGTTTTAACATAAAAAATAAATAATATTAAATCATGACTGTTTTTATATAATGACATTTTTAATTGTAATTATTTTTCTACGTAATTAGAACTTTTTATTTAAATTAGTATTAAAAGAAACCTCGATATTAAATACCTTTTGAATAAACATAAGTAGCATTTAAGTACATTATCTGTAACTGTGTACATATATATACATACTTTCAACTGTACATAATATCTACAAATATATTTGTAAACATGGCAGTAATACATGATTCATTTTATTTGTTACATTTTTGTATGCTGTAGCATATATAAATAAACTTTTGAGAATCATATACAGATTGAAATCGCTGTAAAGTAATATATTAATCGACGACACCCATAACATAAGTTACATATAAGATTTAAAATAAATTACTTTCGGCATGATTTCTTTGTAGTGTTATATTATATATAAATACATATAACACTGTCTTATTGTTATATATTACTTAGTTTTATACTGTTAGTGTAATACTAGTTGAAAATATTATTTATTTATTAAATTAAATAACAAAATAGCGTATAATTCGAGACTATAATAATATGGTTTACAAAGTTTGTTAAATATAAGAGAACAATACAAAAAGCAAGTGTATATGGTATATTCTACATATTTTTGGATTAAAGACTACAAATACAATCACCATAATGACTGCATTATTACTTTTGCTGCATTCTGAACAATATGAATTCAGATACAAAAACAGATAGAACAGATCAATCCATATTAAAAAAAATCAGATCACTTTTTACTTGTTACTGAAACGAAATGTTTCAACACTTTAGATACAGATATAGTTTTCATTTATATTGTAGATAGTGTGAAGTACTGTGCACCGATGACAAGATGTCCCATGAGAAGGCCGCATTTGCATTTGTCTCATGGGACATCTTGTCATCGGTGCACTATACATTTTATTATTCATATGATCAATTAATAAATTTCATTTTACTTCTATTATGAACTTGTTAATGTTCTTTGGATAAACACCTGACGTTTTACATTCAGAGTGCAGCGTGTATCAATCTAGTTGTAAATAGCCGCACTAAGCGCTAAACCGGCTACAAATGATGCAAGGAAAAAATGCAATTCTGAAGTTTGAAGCGACTTATCACCAGTTATAGAGTGGTACCAACGTCGTGTACGAGATTCGCCATTTTTCAACAACTGTTCAGCTTTATCTAGTTTTTTATCAACATATCTCTCGACCTGAAACAACAAGTTTTGTTACTGATGTAAATCATTTATTATTAACGTTTCAAAATATACTTACAAATATCATACAATGTATACAAAAGACTGATACAGATAAAAAATACTTCGTAACACACGAAAAGAAAGTAAGATTAAATTGTAATTATTCTATTTATTATAAGATATAACTAACTGTTTACAATATTTCTATTGTCTTTTGTTATTATTTTTCTGTTACGCATAATAATGCTTTAATTTATATACATACTTGCGCAATTAAGAACTAAAATAATTATTGATAATTACTAAACGTATAGAAACTTCTTAATGCACATGCATATTTCTTAAAAGCATTGAATTTTAATCATGTACACATAAAATACAACAATACTTGTACCGCGCAAGACTACAAACTTGGACGTTAAAATATTGAAACAAAAATGTTTTCTTATAGTTTAAATAAGTTTACTAATTTCAATTATGAAATTTCTTTGATTCTTAAGTACCAGTAAAGGCAAACAATGATATTCAATACATAATGCTAACATAAAAAAACAGAAAAATAATATTATTTCTTTTTCTGTACGAATTTAAGTTATTCTTTTATTCAGGATGCTAAGCCAATAATGAAACCACCAATGAAACTCGTTGCCACAAATGAATTGTTTTTACTCCATTTTCCTACCTGTAAACAATGTAAATATTATATTCATAGATACTAAAATACTAATATTAAAGATGTTAAAATTATAAAGAACATCTTGCCTTATCAAGAAGTTTTGGTCCTTCGCCGGTAACTTTTTCTTCTACTTTATCTGTAATTTTTTCAGCTTTCTTTTGAATTTTATCCCAGTTGATTCTTATGTAACCTTGATGCGCTGCAATTTGCAACATTATAATTCCACCACCAACTGCAACTGCAGCTACTTTTCCAACCTTCATTGTTACAAAACCAGTAAGCCTATAAGAGATATTTAATAGGAATTGGATTAACATCTTTGTCTTAAGCTTTGACCGAGTGTATTTATAAATATAGAAAATTCTATTATATATATATGTTATTATATATAATGCTAACCATCCTGATGCTGTTCCAATAATAATTTGTTTAGTAGCAGATGTCTTGCTCACATCTCCTAAAATCTTATCTATTATACCTTTCGCTTCTTTAGAAATATCAATACCACTTTCTTCTTTATTAGCATCATTTTTGCTTTTCTTTGTTGTTGGTAGACTCATTTTAATACTGAAACGATATATTAGTCATATCTTTTTGTACTTTAAAATAATTTTTAATTCAATGGTAAATAATCGAAAATTCTTCCGATCATTAATAAAACATAAGTATAAATACTATTATCCCGTCTTTAAATATCAGCGTCACTAAGTCATTCTTCGATTATTCGTCAGAACAGAAATATATCGATGAGTACATTGCCAAGAATTTATAATAATAAACGTTATTTTAGAGCAAATTATCATTGTTTTTTGTTTTTGTTTTAAATGAACTATATATGTTATTTAAAAGGCGTATAAGCTATCGAATAACAATAATGAATTTCGAAATACGATGAAAAACAAAAACCATCTACCGTTTAAACAATTTTGTTCCTTTCGACTTAAGGGTATTCTTGTGCAGTTTGGGCATGATATAGTTTAGGCGTTTCCTTAAATTATATAATATTTCATGGTGGTTAGTATTTCACATATAAAGCTCACCTAATGGTTTAATTACAAAAATATTTAATAAAATAAATGACTTTGCGCATAAACCGATCTGACAGATCGAAATCTCCGGTACTTTGAAACGATCACTTTTAGTTTCGGCTACTGTAAGACGTTGCAATAACGAAATGTCCCACACACCGTCAAAGTTTATCATCTTATACATATATAATATATATTCCGTATATTCCATTCCACGAGAGACTCACTAGGTTTAGAAAAATTCCTATCCACATGTGTGGTTCTGCAATATTTTTTTGTCACTCCATTTAATTCTCAAATTCAAGTTATATCACGTTATATTTTTATACTTGGTTATTTTCCAGCGTTTAAATGGATCTTGATATGCAATAAAATCGAACGAAGAATGAGAATTTTCGCGCCATTCTAGGACGTGATAGAGCAACGTATTCTATATGGACGGAATTCTAAGTCGACGTGAACCATCGTAATGGTCTTCCGTCGCGTGATTCGCCATCCTGGTTTAACCTGATTGCCGCTTCTAAAAACTTATCGTCCCGATGAGGTGACGAGTTGTCGAGAGTGTAAATTCTAAAAACTCTCAGATTTTTATGTAAAGCGGCCTGTTCTACGTGTAAACATGTGTCGTTTCTGTTTTTAATGAGTATATTTACCGAGTGTGAAAATGGCCCAGGAGACTGACGATATCAATTTGACTCCCCAAGAATTACAAATACTATCTGAGTTAGACAGGTAATTTTTAACCAGATCAAATCTGTAACAATAAACCTCATGCCAGTTTCTTAATTTTTCGTGTGCCAATTGTATTTTACGCGCATAGTTTTCAAAATATAACCTAAAAGGTTGTTTGACAGAATAGGCGCGTAATTTGATCGGTTCATTTAAACGCACTTACCTATGTACAGTTTATTGATATTTGTTTCAAATGTTTGAATGAACCATATTTAATTAAATATTACATATTGATCTATTGTGCTTTCATAAATTCTGTTATAATTATTTGAATAAGTTGTTAAGAAAAATGATTTATTTAATGAGTATTGAAATAGAAATATTAACAGTGTGTTCTTTTCAATGTGTTTATAGTAGGCAGTTTGGATTTTTAAAATTAAACTCACCAGAGCAATCAAAGAAAAAAGCTTTAGTGGTACGTGCAATTAAATATCTCGAAAGAATGCTAGTTCAGGCACAAGCTGAAAAACAACGTAGAAAAGCGGACAGTACAAAAATAAACCCCGATGAATTAAAAGATGACGACGAAGATAAGGGAATTAGTATCGATCCTAAAACATACTGCAAACTGGGACATTTTCATTTACTTTTGGAGGACTATAGCAAAGGTAATGAATTATTTATACCAATCTCTTGTTAGTTTATATTTATATTCTACTTTACCAATTTCTACTTTAAACTTCTGTTTTAACAGCTATGTCAGCATATCAGAAGTTTTACTCTTTAAAAGGAGATTACTGGAAAGATGCCTCATTTTTGTATGGACAAGGACTTGTCTATTACCACTTCAATGCTTTTCAATGGTAAGTGATTTTTTCTGACTATTTATTAATATTTTCAATGCGTGCATGAATTATTTACAACTACCAAGAGAGTTAAAAAACAGATTTTAAACTTTTCACCATACTCGTAGTTTGAAAAAACAAAAGAAAATAGTGTGAGTAAAAATGTGTACAGGAAAATATTGTTGTTCACCTTGGGAAGGGGACGACGACCCCTTAGACGATGTACACATAGGGTTCATCGTTCTCATCGTGTATCTTTTATTTTTTTAATTTCGCGCGAAATTCTATAGCGCCATCTATACGAAAGAGGCTGGAGTAAATGTGGCGGATTTACATTTCGTGTTGATAAGTTAGATTTCTGTTATATTTTCTATTTTACGACGTTGTTAATTAACTTTTTAAAATTGTAATGTTTTGTAAATTGTATTTCTTTTGTTAGTTCTTTCATTTTATAAATAATCACTTAGATACAGAATTTGTTATCGAGAAGACGTATATGTTTGATAGTGAAAGTAGTTAAAATTATTATATGTTATTGTGTGTGATGTTAAATTAATTATTAGTTATTTGTTAGAGAAAAATAAATAAGATAAATTGCAAATTAAATAATTTTTCTTAAATAAATCGCTACAGGTTTCGAAAAATCAGTCGGTAAGTTGTTGAGTAGTTTCAGCCATTTTCGTATAGATGGCGCTCCGGTCGAATTAAAAAAATATTTGCTTTATTGCGGTCTTTTTAGAATAGGTGTTTGTCAATTATTTTAATAATTATTCGATCTTGTGTTGATTTTGACTGATTTCTAGAAAAATAGAATCGATAGGAGTCTAAATTGTGTCATTTTAATTTCGAGTGCGAGGTATGATATAAGTAGTACTGGTAAAACAGGCGCGACTGTTATATCAGTGTGCTCTGTACCCGCAGGCCTCAACTCACTTTGGGGTGTTTGGGACCCCCAAAATCATGATCCCTCGAGAACAAAAGCATGTCCCGTCTTTCTGTATATCTATAATCATTGTTGTAGCGAAGTGACGCAAGTGCCTACGTGCCAAACAGTTTTGAAGTTATGGCGACTAGGAAACTGGGCGGGAGAGAAGTGAAACATGTACTTTTGTTCTATTCCAATGACTAAAATAACAATTTAGATTTCTTATATCTTGTATACCCTACACTATAGCACTAAATAATATTATTAATCATTTGTACATATCCGTAAAATTACACTTTGTATACAATTTTCCCATGGAAGTACTTACGTACCATATCCATATTTACACATGTATGTATTTTTATTCACGCGATAAATTAGAAATCTTTCAATCTTTATCAATGTATCATTAACGACATTGATAAAGTTATTTAAAAGAAGATTTTTGTAGACTATTACGTTTAAAATCGCTTTAGCAACTGTCGATTATAGTACACGACGATCGATTTAATATAGCCGGTCAGGAAATGTAGTTTAACCTTAATCAACATCAATTATTTCGAGTATAGATATGCTCGAATCTCATTACGTTCCATCGAATGCAAGTAATATGACATTTAAGCATTCTCAAATTGAGAAATCGAATTGTTCTCATTTATTCTTCATCGGGTATTTGAAAATAACTGAGAAGATCGTATCGCCGTCAAATATCAGTTTAATATGATTAGGTTCATCATTCTCGAGCAACTTCGTGTCAGTGACCGACCAGGTGAAAAGTTTTAACGTCGTATTCTAACAGTATCCAACAATCAGTGTTATTAGACGAGATTTTTTAAACTTTATATTAACAATGCATCAAAATGTAATTCAATGTATCCGAATACGTAACAGTATTGTTGCTGTTGACTTGACATTTCCTGTCAGGCAATCGGCTTTATAGACGGTTAGGAGTGGGAATATCGATTTCCTGTTCAACCCTCCTTAACTCAGATGGGTGTAAGATTTCCATGAAACGAAAGCTTACAGAGGACTTCCTTTCGATCTTTCAGCATTCCACTTTATTATGGTTACACGTAACCGTTATCAATTTCCTTGATTGACAGCTTCTCGCGTCTTTTCTTCGATCGATAATGTTTAACTATCGAACGGCGCGGCGGCCCGCTAAAATGGCGCCAATTTCAATTTAACTTTAGATCGTTTCACGTTTTTTCAATTTTTTCTTTTTATTATTCTACCGTTTGCACATTAACGAGAGAGGTTTCACACTTGATTTAGGTACATTCAATTTTACATGGTTCGATTTTACGGAGGTGCATGAACTGCACAAATTACTTTATGGCGGGGACCATAAAGGGCCCGCGCGAAGGTCCTGTACTGTATACCTGGTAGTATACAGAGCTCTGGACAGAGCTCTGCAGAGCCGAAAAATAATTTAATATTGTAGGAAATAAAAGACGTATTAACCGACATTTCCAGAATATTCTGGATTCCATTGCTGAGGGCTGGGAGGTCGCAAGGGGTCCGCGATGCGTTCGATCACGAAAAATCAACGATCAGTTGACGACAGAAGTTGACGACGACGACAACGTACGGGGAATAGACGTGCCCTTGCGACCTGCGACGAATCCGCGACGATAGATAATAGTTTTATTCATAGTTTACGTAGTTTTACAGTTTATAATTAGTTTAGGCACCTAGAGTTAATATAACCTATAATATTAATATTTTTTGAATGACTAAGGCCTTCCAGGCTGCCAGAATTATATTTTTATTTTCAACATATGCAATAGATAGTTATTTTTCACTGACTAAAGTCATTCAGGCCTTTTTTTATTAGTACTTTCTCTCTGATTAACCTAACCTAACCTAACCTTTTTCTATCTAATCGAAACTAAAAGAAAGCTCCCGCTGTTGATCGAACGGGTTAGAGGTTGTACTGGCTCCTTCGTACAGGACCTTCGTGCGGGCCCTTTATGGCTCCACCATAAACTGCCATAAAGTGATTTGTGCAGTTCGAGGCTCACCAATTTTACGCGGACGGTGTACAGAGAAAAAGATTTTCGACTCATTAAAAAGCTTCGCGCTCGAATAGCGTGTTTCATCCACTCCGTGATTAACGAGAGGCTACTGCTGCGGATTTTACACTGAATCCACCCAATACATTTGTTACCATGCATTGCACATCTCGTGTAATCTACATTCACGTGTTGAACGAACGCACCTTTTGTTATCGCAAATGTATTCATACTTGAAATATATTCTTTTAGCGTTGCCCCGTCGCGTTAATCGGTAAAATCATTTCTGAAAAATTGAATTCCTGATAAATTGAAATGTTTGCATTCGTTCAGTTGATAATCTTATCAATATGATTGTGAAAACGATTAGGTCTTAATCGTTTCTCAATGTGATTGATTATTTCATCCTTAAGATGGGTAAAATTTGTTTGATGTCATTTCTGTTTTATTATCATTCAGAAAGAAACAATTATACGGCAATTACGTAGTATAGAATGTCTTTCGCCTTTGTCTTATTCGATAAACCGCAGACTTATTCAGCGAGTGAAATTGAATGGAAAATCCTCTCTTTGTGGATGCATGAGGCGGTTTCCTTGGAAATATTGGGTTTCAAAGCGTCCGTTCAGGTGTGCATAGTAAGAAGTACCTAACAGCAATTAATTGTACGCCAGCCGAATGAGCAGACTAGATTAGCAAATATAGTATACGAGTACTTATTTTATCAAAAGTCCACTTCTCTATCGTTGTCGAACAGGAAGGGAAGCTGCAACAACCCCTTTCTTCGATCAGCCAATCTTTTTTCGCTATTTCACCCCTGGCATTGAATGGAGCCAAATCTCCCTAAGGGTGATTCACATGACGCGTGACTCGCCACTTTTCTAATCACTTCTACTTATGTGTCTAACTGTATATTTATATGCAACCATTATGCACCTTTCTGTAAGAAAATGCAACATCCAGGCTGCTGGACAATGTTGCCTGTCGTTGCCTTTCGGGGTCCTAAGCGTGGGATCTTCCTTCGAGGGTCGTGGCATTAGAGGACATTTTTGGGACCGTCAGGGCATTCGAGTGTACCGGCAGCGTGCGAGTTGCACCCACCGGAAGATTCAAGCGTCTGTTTAGCTCCTTCAACTAGGTAAAAGTAGAGCGAGATTCGCTCTAAAGCCAACCCCAGTCAGACTGGAAGTGGTAAAAAAAAAAAAAGAATTTCGGCCATTCGTTCAGATTTTAACCCGTTAAACACAATGGCGCAAGAAAATTAATGTATTGAAAATTAAGTATTTCTATTTTTAATAAGCTAAAGTGAACTAGAGCGAGATTCGCTCTAGAGCCAACTCTTTTTCGGCCATTTCCGGTCAGGCCGGTATTTTTGGCCATTCATTGAGGCAAGAATTTTTTCGATAACTCTTACCGTTTGTCCTGTACAAAAGTGACAGAAAGTCTAAATGCTTTAGCCCCCTTCTCAAGATTTTCAATCTTAGATAAATAAATTCCCAATCGTTTCATTCGCGTTTCTGCGTAATTCTCAGCGTCCTGTGAAACCGTTGTTCGCCCATTCTTACATTTCTGTTTTTTATCATATCGATTTGCGTACTTTACACCTATCCATTTGTCTATGCCTCAGCAATCATAAAGAAATATAACTAGTTCTCTCTGCTATTTTATACATACTTGTTTAACCAGCTTTGGTCGGTTATAAAATGTATCTATAGTTACCTAAGTTAGTAGCTATCATAATAGTGGCAATAGTATTGGTAACGATTAAATTACTAGATTGTTATTTTTAGTTTGAATTCGTAACTGGGATAAAGGAGGGACGTCTGTCGGGTAGGTTTTCGGTGTAATCGGTGGAGGCAAGGTTCGTCGGAACGGCATGGCAGTTGGGACATTCTGTCCGCCATGGGAGAGTGGAGTTGAGTCACGTGCAACGCATAGAGATGCGTTGCAGACGATCGATTTTACAACCTCTCCTTCTACGCACGTGTTAGCTCGTGTATAGTCACACATCGAACTACATATTTCAGCTTGTTACATATCAAACGGCCGATTTAGTAACATAGAAATCTATTATATATTAG